TAGTATATACACACCATTTATCGCATGGTGTTTTATATTACAGTAGTATATACACACCATTTATCTCATGGTGCTTTGTATTATAGTGGTGTATACACACCATTTATCTCGTGGTGTTTTATATTACAGTAGTATATACACACCATTTATCTCATGGTGCTTTCTATTATAGTGGTTTATACACACCATTTATCTCATGGTGCTTTGTATTATAGTAGTATATACACACCATTTATCTCATGGTGTTTTATATTACAGTAGTATATACACACCATTTATCTCATGGTGCTTTGTATTATAGTGGTGTATACACACCATTTATCTCATGGTGCTTTGTATTATAGTGGTGTATACACACCATTTATCTCATGGTGTTTTATATTACAGTAGTATATACACACCATTTATCTCATGGTGCTTTGTATTATAGTGGTGTATACACACCATTTATCTCATGGTGCTTTGTATTATAGTAGTGTATACACACCATTTATCTCATGGTGTTTTATATTACAGTAGTATATACACACCATTTATCTCATGGTGCTTTGTATTACAGTAGTACATACACACCATTTATCACATGGTGCTTTGTATTATAGTGGTGTTTACACACCATTTATCTCATGGTGCTTTGTATTATATAGGTGTATACACACCATTTATCTCATGGTATTTTATATTACAGTAGTATATACACACCATTTATCTCATGGTGCTTTGTATTATAGTGGTGTATACACACCATTTATCTCATGGTATTTTATATTACAGTAGTATATACACACCATTTATCTCATGGTGCTTTGTATTATAGTGGTGTATACACACCATTTATCTCATGGTGCTTTGTATTATAGTGGTGTATACACACCATTTATCTCGTGGTGCTTTGTATTATAGTGGTGTATACACACCATTTATCTCATGGTGCTTTATATTATAGTGTTTTCTATTACAGTCGTATATACACACCATTTATCTCATGGTGCTTTGTATTATAGTACACACCATTTATCTCATGGTGTATACACACCATTTATCTCATGGTGTTTTATATTACAGTATATACACACCATTTATCTCATGGTGTTTTGTATTATAGTGGTGTATACACACCATTTATCTCATGGTGCTTTATATTACAGTGGTGTATACACACCATTTATCTATATACATGGTGCTTTGTATTATAGTTTGTTTAGACACCATTTATCTCATGGTGCTTTGTATTATAGTGGTGTATACACACATTACAGTAATATACACACCATTTATCTCATGGTGTTTTATTTTTTAGTATATACACACCATTTATCTCAAATTATAGTGTGTAGTTTATATTACAGTAATTTATCTCATGGTGTTTGTATTATAGTGGTACATACACACCATTTATCTACACACACATTTATCTCAGCATGGATCAGTTTTGATTATATTTTCTTGATTTGTAAGGCTGGTGTAGTATTACAGTAGTATACACACCATTTACTGTTGGTGTTTTATATTACCGTAATGCTTTATCTCATGTTACATAAATATTTTTACAATTTGATTGGGAAAAACTCTGTTGATTCATTTATCTGTGTAATGTTTGTATTTCATTATCATACATTGTGGCTGAGATTACCTCCACTTGGTCAGTAAAACTACACTATGCAGTACTTATATAAAACTCATAGATATTTGAAGTTTACAATGTCTGTCGTAAGATGGAAATTAATATGTTAATTACAAACACTTCGTATGCATATTGATATGTTCCATGAAATCATGACCATGTCCATATTCAAATTAAATACATTTTTTTCTGTATGCAAGTGAATTTCTATTGAGTAAAATTGAAATTTAATATATCTTTCCTCTATGCAAGTGAAATTTTATTGTGTAAAATTGAAATTTAGAACATTTTTTTTCTGCAAGCAAGTGAATTTCCATTGTGAAAAATTGAAATTTGATATATTTTTTCTGTATGCAAGTGAATTTCTATCGTGTAAAATAGAAATTTAGAACATTTTTTCTCTATGCAAGTGAATATCTATTGTCAAATTTAAATTTGATATTTTTTCTCTATGCAAGTAAATTTTTATTGTATAAAATTGAAATTTAGAACATTTTTTCTGCATGCAAGTGAATACCTATTGTGTCAAATTTAAATTTGATATTTTTTCTGTATGCAAGTAAATTTTTATTGTATAAAATAGAAATTTAGAACATTATTTCTGCAAGCAAGTGAATATCAATTGTGTCAAATTTAAATTTGATATTTTTTCTGTATGCAAGTGAATTTTTATTGTGTAAAATTGAAATTTAGAACATTTTTTTCTGCAAGCAAGTGAATTTCCATTGTGAAAAATTGAAATTTAATATATTTTTTCTGTATGCAAGTGAATTTCTATCGTGTAAAATAGAAATTTAGAACATTTTTTCTGCATGCAAGTGAATATCTATTGTGTCAAATTTAGATTTGATATTTTTTCTGTATGCAAGTAAATTTTTATAGTATAAAATTGAAATTTAGAACATTTTTTTCTGCATGCAAGTGAATATCTATTGTGTCAAATTTAAATTTGATATTTTTTCTGTATGCAAGTAAATTTTTATTGTATAAAATTGAAATTTAGAACATTTTTTCTGCATGCAAGTGAATATCTATTGTGTCAAATTTAAATTTGATATTTTTTCTGTATGCAAGTAAATTTTTATTGTATAAAATTGAAATTTATTGGGTCAGTGTTCAGCTGTAAGAACATGTTTTTCTGCATTGTGTTTTAAAATCTTCACATTAGATAATTGTGTGTTTAAAGGTCTGATGTAGATTTGGGGTTGAGTGTTGAGCAGGGGTTGAGTTTTGAGTGTTGTGTGTTTAGTTTGGGGTTGAGCGTTGAGCAAGGGGTTGAGTTTTGAGGGGGTTGAGTGTTGAGCTAGTTGAGTTTTGAGTTTGGGGTTGAGGGGTTGAGTTTTGAGTATGGGGTTGTGTGTTTAGTTTGGGGTAGAGTGTTGAGCTAGGGGTTGAGTTTTGAGTATGGGGCTGTGTATTTAGTTTGGGGTTGAGTGTTGAGCTAGGGGTTGAGTTTTGAGTATGGGGTTAAGTGTTGAGTTTGGGGTTATGTATTGAGTTTGGAGTCTTGAGCTGTTGGTTGCATTCAGGTTGTGGTTGAATTTTGAGTGTTGAGCTGGGGGTTATGTATTGATTTTGGGATTGAGTGTTGAGCTGAAATGTAGTTAAGTTAGGGGGTTGAGTTTTGAGTGTGGGGTTGTGTGGTGAATTTAGGGTTATGTAGTGAGGTTATGGTTAAGTTTTGAGCTAGAGAATGAGTGTTGAGCTGGTGGGTTATGTATTGAGTTTGGGGTTGTGTATTGAGTTTTGGGTTGTGTATTGAGTTTGGAGTTGTGTATGGAGTTTGGGGTTGTGTATTGAGTTTGGGGTTATGTATTGAGTTTGGGGTTGAAGGTTTATTTTGGGGTTGAGTGTTGAGATAAGTTGATATCATCTTGTGTATTTGTATTACCATAAATGTCTATGTGATGTATTTTGTATATTTTATAATAGCGATAATTTTATAAAACATGGCCTGTAAAGCGCTTTAGAACTGACCTTTTTAATAGTATATAAATATTGCATATTATTATTATCATGTATCAAGCCCTGTATATATAAGGTGCTGTGAAATGTCATTTTGTAAATAGAACAAAAAAAAAAGAACAAACAAACTAATTAATGGACAGATGTTTAATGTACTAAATAAAAATCTCCAGTAAGTATAAGTGATAGATACACACTGAAAATAACACATAGAAATATAGAACAAAAGTTTCTTACAAAAATAAAGAAACAAAAATCACATCTTTGTTGATCACAGTTCAAGGCTCCACATTAGAAGTATTCTTAATACATTCCAAGTTTTAAACAGAAAATCAGCATTTTAGCAGTGATGTTTCTGTACTTTTTATGAATTCGGCATAACTTCATGCACAGAGTGTGACTAATTGACTTCAAAACCCATCCAAGGTTTAGTACTTTATGTAGGTAGATTGTGTTTGGTTGATGATGTATTTTCAATTGACCACACATGTTGTTCCAAGATGATATGTTCTTTAATTTGATCTTTGTTTGAGTAATATTATTGATTTTATTGTTTTGATATGAAAATATGGTACTTATCTTTGTCAAAATATTACTTGAACTTTGGGAACCAAACTTAAAGGTAATAAGTTATTTTAGAATTATTTTAAATGATTTAATTATGATAATTACTACAGGTAGAAGTTATGGTAAATTACAGCACGGTAGTTTTATCTGAGTATAACGAATGATTGTGTAAACCATCTATAGTTAAAACTTGTAAGAGGTATATGATAGAATTGTGATATTATGTTAATTAATATTTATTGGTCAGGTTAATTTTTTTTTTTTTTTTTTTGAAGTTGTAAAGGTCTTTCTTGAAAGTTTTGTGAATATTATGAATGGTAATAAATCTTGGACCAGTATAAATAATTCCTGGTTATAATTACAGTTGTATGTATGCCGTGATTCAGATGAACAAATTTGAATCTCACCATTTTAATTCTCTTATTTGTTTATTTTATCACTGTACTTATAATTTCAAGTTAAAGTAGTTTCACAAGTAGTCGATTGTTTTGATTGAAAATGGTTTTCTGTGTTTATGTCTACGAGCATACATGTTGTGTATTGTTACTAATATAGCTATGTACGGTCACAACAGCCGGTACTTAAATATGTGGTAAAATGATTTCACGAGGAAGGTTAAGTGCATCATTTGTTATATATATTATAATACATCACTTGGAAATGAACAAAGATAAATAGAAAATATATAACTATACTATTTGCCTGTTTTGAGTATCACAGATGAGTTCACATTAAAATCCGGATTAAATCGAAAGAGTTAACTCCCCTTTGCTGCCGGAAGTATGGATATCACAGATTGTTGAATGTCCCACCGCCGTGGAGTACAATGTTTCTAAGGACTTTGGTTGTGTTTACCTCTTCATAATGTCAAACAGTTGAAACACCAGGGTCGTCATGTTTGCGTGTTGAAATTTGCTTCCCGAAACCACATCTGTCAAAGAGAATGTTTGAATGATGTTTGGCTCTGTCTAACACAATACATAAAGACATTATGTACCAGATTTAAACAACACGGCTTGGAATCCGTGGTGACCATCCGACGGTGTACAGGGAATTTTACATCTATTGGCATTCGTATGAGATTTGCGTTATAAAACGTGTCTCAGATATATCCAGTGGCGTAGCCAGGATCTAAAGTTGGGAAGGGGGTGGGGGGTGGTTTGTGTGGTGTTAGTTTCGACAGAATGCAAGTAGAATCTGATTCTGTTACCTGAGCTGAGTGTAGTTTGTGTGGTGTTAGTTTCGACAGAATGCAAATACTTTTTAAAAATCTACAAAATGACTAATTACTTGACTGATACTCTACCGCTCTCTTTTTGGAGACATAACGCTTAATGCGCCATGAAATAATGATGTCAGAAAAGAAACCATGGAAACCTTCAGACAATGAATGTTCAGCTAATAAATATTTCACTTACGTAGTAACAATATTATGTAGCGATTGTTATCAAACTTCTAACAAAAATCAACATGGAAATACCAACATCAGTATTAATCCAAACTTAAATTCAATAAAACTAGGGCAACAAAAATGAGAAAACATCAACATGTGAGTATTATCACAATCCAAACTCAAATTCAATAAAACTAGGACAAAATGTGAACAAAGACTTGCACGAAGACTTCTGAAAAATGATTTCCCTACCCGGTTAGTATTGTGTAACAACACAATACCAAAATGTCTATCGCACACAATGTATTTGGTGAACTTCCTATTTAACAAAGTTACGTTAAGGTAAATTGCATGTGACAATGGGGCTGGTTCGCTAGGTTTTCTACTTACCGCGGAAAAACAAGTTGGCTTCGTTCATATCGCAGAAGAGGTGGCAAACAATATGCGACCTTGGGTGGAAGATAGACGACTTGACGGCTAAAGGAGATGTGTCGATGAAAGCTGCATCAGCCTTGTAATTTTGCAATTTGCTGCACAAGAAATCGATGTACTTGTGAAGTTCCTGTCTGTTGCTGATGTCGTTGAACTCCATCATCATAAACGTGCGATACCCTGTGGTGAAAAAAGTGACACCTAACTCACAACAAAATATACCAAAAAAATAGATTAATTAATTGAAAAAGTGATAATGTTGGAAAAAGATGCATTGTTCCCCAAACTGGTATTAATTCATGAATCATCTCCATCAAATGACACGGCTTGACCGACTGAACAATAAAATGTTACCTGACGATGGTCTATACTTCAGCGACAGGATCGAGGACTGATTGCCATACGGCATAGGGAAACTGGCGTGTTTGAATTCGCGGTCTCTGTCGACCCACTCCCTGGCCTGTTTCTCGCCTTTGAACCAGTTGATAACCATCATTTTGGTGACTGGTCCATTATGTTCCAGGTTATAGTATTGTTTGTTCCATTGTGCCATCATGGGCTGTCTCTTCCAGTCATACCCACCTTCCTTGACGTCAATCTAAATAGATACAGTTCATAATTATTATAATAAGAATAATTTCTTTATTTTCTTGTTTGTTATCAGTACTACCAGGTCATTATCTATATTGATGATTTAGAAAGCGGAAATAAAAAAATGACTACCATTTTTGCTGTTGCAAATCCGAGAAGTTTTCTTTCTGGCATTTCTCCGGAGCAGAGTTCGAACGCTCGCTTGACATCGTGGAATCCATCGTCATCGGTTCTGATGAAGAGGAACACGCCCGCCCCGGTACCTGCTGGATCCTAACAAAGTGATCGATCAAAGGTCAGTAACTGGGTCATTTATATTATAGACGTAAAAATAGTATAATACAACATATCACTTTTGAGACAATATAAGAATAGATTTAACTTCTATCTCATTGTGTAGTATAACATACCGTGGACAATCTTCTCTGCAAATTTGAAATACTGATATAGAATCGTCATTGTAATTGTATCATTTCTCAGAAAATATCAAAATGTTCATTGTCATCATTCGAGATCTTACCTTATTTAACGAGGAACCTAATGACAGTTAAATTCTAAATATGAGCACATGTAAACACTTCTCTAGCTGAAAAAATATGATGAAATTAAGACATCGTAGAATCAGCTGAAATATCGGGTGATTCACATGTGTACGCGTTTTTGATAAAGCCTTGACATTGATATCTGGACTGACGAGGAACAGTTACGTGATACAATAACAGTGACCTAATTAATGAATAGTCGTTAATTATGGTATAAAGTCATCTAATAACTACTGATATCTACAAAATACTACAAAACAAGTAGACTAAACTAGGACATCAATAATCGGGTCTGATTACTACCGACTACTTTCGTAGTCTCGTGTATCGTGCGATCTGTAACCCTAAATTCATCGGCAGTCGTGTGATCACGGTGACAGTCGTGTGATCACGGTGACAGTCGTTTGATTTCGGTGACAGTCGTGTGATCACGGTGACAGTCGTGTGATCACGATGACAGTCGTTTGATCTCGGTGACAATCGTGATACTGAAACGACATATTATGAGGGATATGTTTCACAAATTCTTCCAGTGGACTTGTCAACATGTAGAAAGTGAAAGCCCTAACTCATTCAATCAGCTCATTCCTACCCTACTAGTTACATTCACCAAGCGAAAACGGCATTCACCATGTTTATAAATATAGTAAAGCTATATCTATTTGTACTTTTGTCAATAAAAAGATACATGTACAGATGGTTATAGTTTAAAGCTCGTCATACCGCCAATGAAAGTAAAACTTATTGTGTTGGTCCCTTGTGTCGCTTTTACGAAGGCTGCAAACAAATAATATCTACTCAAATGTTTTAAGGATGTTTTACGTTATATCTTCCTCAGCCGCTTTGGATTTTATCTTTTGCGTCACGTGGTATTTTTTAAAACGTTAATCATTATCGCTTAATGCTACTGAAACCAAAAAAACGGTGTAACGTATTGTACGTTCTGTTAGGTAAGGTGTAACGTTACACGTCGTTATTGTACGTTCTGTTAGGTACGGTGTAACGTTACACGCCTTTATAGTACGTTCTGTTAGGTACGGTGTAACGTTACACGTCGTTATTGCACGTTCTGTTAGGTAAGGTGTAACGTTACACGTCTTTATTGTACGTTCTGTTAGGTAAGGTGTAACGTTACACGTCTTTATTGTACGTTCTGTTAGGTAAGGTGTAACGTTACACGTCGTTATTGTACGTTCTGTTAGGTAAGGTGTAACGTTACACGTCGTTATTGTACGTTCTGTTAGGTACGGTGTAACGTTACACGTCTTTATTGTACGTTCTGTTAGGTAAGGTGTAACGTTACACGTCTTTATTGTACGTTCTGTTAGGTAAGGTGTAACGTTACACGTCGTTATTGTACGTTCTGTTAGGTACGGTGTAACGTTACACGTCTTTATTGTACGTTCTGTTAGGTACGGTGTAACGTTACACGTCTTTATTGTACGTTCTGTTAGGTAAGGTGTAACGTTACACGTCGTTATTGTAAGTTCTGTTAGGTAAGGTGTAACGTTACACGTCTTCATTGTACGTTCTGTTAGGTACGGTGTAACGTTACACGTCTTTTTTGCACGTTCCGTTGGATAACGTATCGTCTCGCTGTCGGTCTGGAGTATGGATAGACAACGCCATTTACCAATAAAAGCATTTTGTTTGCTACAAGAGTATTTGAAACATGATTTTTTATATTAGATATTATGTTTTGCTTTGGTATTGCTTAAGCTGTATATTAGTGCACTGTCGAATGATTTCGTAAAATGTACACATATATATATTTAAGAATGCATTACGCCATATAATTTCATAATTTCAGAACAACATGCATGCCCTTTTCGACAGAACCGTTACTCCTTAACACTGCATAATACCAATATCAAAAAACGACCTCTGAGGTCCAGTCACACACATTCAAAACATGAAGAAAATACTGATATTTGTGGTAAGACATTTCTTGTGTTGGAACAATACACAAGAAGCGAAACATTTTCATGTGCGTATATTCTACGTTAAGACCTGTTCGTTTATTCATACCTGAAACATTAAATTACACTCAATTTGTACTGTACAAAGTAGTAACCCATTCTAGACAACGCGTTTTTCAAAGTCCTCGTAGAAAAATAAAACAAAGGAAACAAGTATTTTTTTGTATCTGTTGGCGCACACGAAAACTTCGAAACTAATTCAACCATTCTCCTGAAGGAAAATGAATTAAGATCCACTTCACACGATAATCTCTAGACTTTTGAATGTTTATAAAAATCTTTATCATTCGTTTATGACGTCACTTAGTTAGTGTTTAATTGCGACATGTCATATTGATGTACAGCACCTGTAACCATATTACGTCACAGATGCACTGCATCAAGGATAGTCGTTGTTTGATCGCAACCAAAAGCTACAAAAACTACCAAAAATGACAACCAGTGAAACTGTTAGACTGCAAAACTGGGAAACATCGACACCTTAATCTTGATTTATATGGAGATAACATGCCTAGCATGTTGAAGGAAAGTTTAGTACAAACACAGCACGATGAGGTGGGTTTGGAAGGAGGCGGGGGACTAGCAGTGCTAGCGTGATACAAAGTGATACAAGCACGTAAGTCAGTGACGTCACGTCCAATAGCAACAAACCTGCTTAGGATCCGCATATATACGTTCGGGATTGTCAGTCTGAAATTCAAATACAACTCCCCTATGTTACAATATATCGTTAATAGTTCACACCTAGCAGTGTCGAAGTACTACTTAGATTGTAGATACTCGAAGTTAACGCTGCATTAACCTTTTTGACAATGCTACCTCCACTTTCGTTTTGTTTTGTTTTTTGTTTTAGTTTTAATAACAAAACGTGGAAATTGGTCAAAATTATCTTATAATTTGCTTACTCATCAAATGTTCTTCAACGGCTAAACGTACTCGTCTTAGTAATTGATTACCTCCAATCTGAACTAACCTTGTGTACTCGTTCAAACCGATGAAAGTCGTGCATCGGAAGCTTTTGTCTCACCTGTAAACGTATAGCAAGTGGTTGAGGTTGTTAGAGGGAATTCAAATAGTGCGATATCAGAGGTCTAGCTTCGGAACTAAGTAAGCAGTTATACACCTAGAAAATTAAATCTTTATTAAAAATGGACAAAGGTCGTTATTTCGTGCATCAAAGTGTAAAGTAGCGTGCATCTGGATGGAGATCTCTAAAGACACCCCCTCCCCCCCCCCCCCCAAAAAAAGGTAGTTATTTCGTGCATCAAAGTGTAACGTAGCGTGCATCTGGATGGAGATCTCTAAAGACTCCCCCCACCCCCGTACGACAGGAAACTAAAGGCCAAGTTAAATGTTAAGGAATCTAGTGAACCTTGAAGGTTTTTAGTTTGTCAAAGCATAACTTGCAGGAGAATATTAGCGCAGACACCTGTTTAAGGGACAGGTACATGCATGGTAAAAGCACTAAGTATGATAGAGATTAAAGGGATGTCAAAGTAAAATTATAATTATAAAATATTGTCTCTCTATTGAACTTCTAGCCATTATCGACAACAAAGGTAAAAAAAGAAACATGATAAAAAATACCACGTAATATTTATCTGGGAAACAAGACAATTGTGCAAGTCCATCAAAAACCGTCAAGAAAACCTTGATTGCCCTGTAATCACGATAAACCTTGATTGCCCTGTAATCACGATAAACCTTGATTGCCCTATAATCACGATAAAACTTGATTGCCCTATAATCACGATAAACCTTGATTGCCCTGTAATCACGATAAACCGTGATTGCCCTATAATCACGATATACCTTGATTGCCCTATAATCACGATAAACCGTGATTGCCATATAATCACGATAAACCGTGATTGCCCTGTAATCACGATAAACCTTGATTGCCCTATAATCACGATAAACCGTTATTGCCATATAATCTCAATAAACCGTGATTGCCCTATAATCACGATATACCTTGATTGCCCTATAATCACGATATACCTTGATTGCCCTGTAATCACGATAAACCGTGATTGCCCTGTAATCACGATAAACCGTGATTTCCTTATAATCACAATAAACCTTGATTGCCCTATAATCACAATAAACCTTGATTGCCATATAATCACGATAAACCGTGATTGCCATATAATCACGATAAACCGTGATTGCCCTATAATCACAATAAACCTTGATTGCCCTATAATCACGATAAACCGTGATTGCCATATAATCACGATAAACCTTGATTTCCTTATAATCACGATAAACCTTGATTGCCCTATAATCACAATAAACCTTGATTGCCATATAATCACGATAAACCTTGATTGCCCTATAATCACGATAAACCGTGATTGCCATATAATCACGATAAACCGTGATTGCCCTATAATCACAATAAACCTTGATTGCCATATAATCACGATAAACCTTGATTTCCATATAATCACGATAAACCGTGATTGCCCTGTAATCACGATAAACCTTGATTGCCCTATAATCACGATAAACCTTGATTGCCCTATAATCACGATAAACCGTGATTTCCTTATAATCACAATAAACCTTGATTGCCCTATAATCACGATAAACCGTGATTGCCCTATAATCACGATAAACCTTGATTGCCCTATAATCACGATAAACCTTGATTGCCATATAATCACAATAAACCGTGATTGCCCTATAATCACGATAAACCGTGATTGCCCTATAATCACGATAAAACTTGATTGCCCTATAATCACGATAAACCTTGACTGCCCTATAATCCCGATAAACCTTGATTGCCATATAATCACGATAAACCGTGATTGCCATATAATCACGATAAACCTTGATTGCCCTATAATCACGATAAACCGTGATTGCCATATAATCACGATAAACCGTGATTGCCATATAATCACAATAAACCGTGATTGCCCTATAATCACGATAAACCTTGATTGCCCTATAATCACGATAAACCGTGATTGCCATATAATCACGATAAACCTTGATTTCCTTATAATCACAATAAACCTTGATTGCCCTGTAATCACGATAAACCTTGATTGCCATATAATCACAATAAACCGTGATTGCCCTATAATCACGATAAACCGTGATTGCCCTATAATCACGATAAACCTTGATTTCCTTATAATCACATTAAACCTTGATTGCCCTATAATCACGATAAACCGTGATTGCCATATAATCACGATAAACCTTGATTTCCTTATAATCACAATAAACCGTGATTGCCCTGTAATCACGATAAACCGTGATTGCCCTATAATCCCGATAAACCTTGATTGCCATATAATCACAATAAACCTTGATTGCCCTGTAATCCCGATAACCTTGATTGCCCTATAATCCCGATAAACCTTGATTGCCCTATAATCACGATAAACCTTGATTGCCCTATAATCACGACAAACCTTGATTGCCATATAATCACGATAAACCGTGATTGCCATATAATCACGATAAACCTTGACTGCCCTATAATCACGATAAACCTTGATTTCCCTATAATCACGAAAAACCTTGATTGCCCTATAATCACGATAAACCGTGATTGCCCTGTAATCACGATAAACCGTGATTGCCCTATAATCACGATATACCTTGATTGCCCTATAATCACGATAAACCTTGATTTCCTTATAATCACGATAAACCGTGATTGCCCTGTAATCACGATAAACCTTGATTGCCCTATATTCACGATAAACCGTGATTGCCCTATAATCACGATAAAACTTGATTGCCATATAATCACAATAAACCTTGATTGCCATATAATCACGATAAACCGTGATTGCCATATAATCACGATAAACCTTGACTGCCCTATAATCACGATAAACCTTGATTGCCCTATAATCACGACAAACCTTGATTGCCATATAATCACGATAAACCGTGATTGCCATATAATCACGATAAACCTTGACTGCCCTATAATCACGATAAACCTTGATTGCCCTATAATCACGACAAACCTTGATTGCCCTATAATCACGATAAACCGTGATTGCCCTGTAATCACGATAAACCGTGATTGCCCTATAATCACGATATACCTTGATTGCCCTATAATCACGATAAACCTTGATTTCCTTATAATCACGATAAACCGCGATTGCCCTATAATCACGATAAACCGTTATTGCCATATAATCACGATAAACCGTGATTGCCCTATAATCACGATAAACCTTGATTGCCATATAATCACGATAAACCTTGATTGCCCTATAATCCCGATAAACCTTGATTGCCATATAATCACGATAAACCTTGATTGCCCTATAATCCCGATAAACCTTGATTGCCCTATAATCACGATAAACCTTGATTGCCCTATAATCACGATATACCTTGATTGCCCTTTAATCACGATAAACCGTGATTGCCCTATAATCACGATAAACCTTGACTGCCCTATAATCACGATAAACCGTGATTGCCCTGTAATCACGATAAACCGTGATTGCCCTATTATCACGATAAACCGTGATTGCCTTATAATCCCGATAAACCTTGATTGCCCTATAATCACGATATTATCGGAACACATTTCTATATTCCATCTGAACGTTCAGCATTATACAAATGGAGCGTGATCTGGTGTTAACGACAATTTAACACACAAAAAAAAGAAAAATCTACAGCATTGCAGCTGTTCTCGATGTCCTTTTGATGTTGCAATCTAACCTCCGCTTATTAGCAAACCAATTATCTGAAACGATTTCTACATACGGAATTTCGTTTATATGATATGAAAACTTGTTGGCAATACTTCACGAATTCAGATGTTTGCTTATCAAAGGTGTTTCTTATTTTTAATTGTATTTCTATATTTTACTTTTGAACCTCCGGGTTAATTATAAAAAAAAATTAACAATCCTTCTCTGTCGATCATTTCGATAACCCCGACGTGTAGAAGCAGTTAAATAAAAAAAAGTCATGCACGTCAGTTTTATGTCATGCTTGATGTCTTAAAATAGTTACAAACATGCATTGTCACGAAAAATCAATTAGAACGAAGAAGGGTAAAATTTCTCTATCATGCAAAGATACATAACTAAAATTTGGTACTTGACATAATACAATGGAATTTATACTATAAGAATCAAACATTCAGCTGAACATATTTTTTTACTAAATCTAAAGAAATGCGAACGCCACATTGTACATTGTAACTAGTTGCGGTGACCGGATCACAGTGAAAACCTTGTAACCGAATTGTGAACATCCGATCATAAACTTAGTTCTTAAACTCGTTTGTATGGCCAATATTTCAAGATTTGAACAAAATAAGATGAAAGATAATATTGCTATAGTTAAACTTCCGCACTCGTCGATGATGCCGAGTAAGAACTGAACAGGCAAAACTACGATCCGGTCTGTCTGTCTACTAACTCTTCAAAACATACTAATACTAAGCTTGTTTAGCTTTACTTAGAAAAATAGATATATGTTTATACACCGCGTATGTAAAACATCAGTATATTAGCCTCTTTGATCCAAATGTTGCAAATAGAATATTTGTCATACTGATTTGTTGTTTATTGACTATTTTCAGTTATTACATTTGTATTCAATTAGTTAAATATTCCGCCACATTCTTCATTAATTTAATTATGTCTAAAATGTATGACAGGGATAAGGCTATTTCATGCTGACAAAGAAGCGAAATTAAATAATTAAGTGTGTCTAGTCAGGAAAACGAACCCTCCGCTCTTCTGGGCGTAGTAATGCATCCGGATAGAAGGGGCCTTCTGGTTCCATATCCTAGAAACGTTATAACGTCATGTTTGTTTGTTAAAAAGAAAAGAACAAGAAAATACCAACGTGTCAACATCATATAGTCCAAACTCAAATTCAATAAAACGAGGGCAAAATATGAACAAAACAAATTTACCCGGGGACCCCTGAAAAGTACAAAGATAAATAAGATCAGGTGTTTTGGAAGAGTAAGCGTCTTCTGCCATGTAAATTGTGGTCAATTCCAGTAAGTAATGTCACGTTCCCAAATGAGAACAGGATATACAACAACGGAACCAACAGGCAAACAAACCACCACCAAACACGTCCAGCTTCACATTACACAAACAAACAGAATAAATCTCAATGACATCTCTGTATGACGGTAAAACTTCCACTCCACATAATTTTCCTCAACCTGAATCTTTTGAAACCCCTAGAGCTATTCTTTGTCACCACAACTAAAGTATGTTCTACAATACAATGTCATGTTTTGAAACACCAGTCACAAGCAGTAAGTAATTATAATGGCATCATAGATACGAGAGTGATTTAATTGCGAACGACATTCCATACAAGGAGTTTGTGTTAATATAACCTACAGCACGGTTTTTACACAAGAACCATACCACGCCGTAAGCCCATGTTAAAAAAACCCCAAAAGGCCAACAACACGCCACACAAGCAGCTTGTGATTGTATAACCACAGATCTTTGTGTAGGTTATCTGAATAACAATACGTAAATATATATATCGTAAAGTGATGGACAAATAGCCTTATCGGATATAACAATGCTCCCGACATGATTTCGGGTTATTATGATAAACACTTACCTACATCATACCACCTAACACAAGGCGTTTAAAATTAGATACCGAAAACGAAAGTATTTAGATTGATAACGATTGGGTGGTCTGGTGGCGCAGTGGTAACGCACTCGCCTTTCAACCAGCCGTTCGAGTTCGATTCCTAGAACGGACTGAAAAAGTTAGGGGTTACATGCCCAACCGCGTGGGGTTTCCCCGGGTACTCTGGTTTCCTCATGTAGAAGTCATTAGGTGGTGTCAAAATGTCTATGAATTATTTCTGAATAATTAAAAGCATTTTGACATCATAGCGAGTGATGTAAAGTGTACATAAAGAAGATATATATACTAGTTCTGGTGTTATTGTCTATATAAATTGTAGGAGAAGAAAACAAACATTTTGGACAGTTATATATATCCACATCTAAGATTTCTACCATCACCTCCACACTACAGATTAGTCAAATTAGTTTATAATTTTTAAGGATCATTGACAAACCTCTCTCCGATGATGCGTAATCTGAAATTTGAATGACCCCCATACAAGTTATTATTAGAGCAACATGTCGTACAGATGGGTACCATTTCTACATGAGTATAACATCGCTTGGTCACAGACTTTAGTATACACTGTAGGTTCTCAGATAACGTCATACAATGGTCAATGTCATACATAAGTACTTCATATCAACAATTATTTACACTGAAATCGATTTTTACATGTAAATATTATAACTACATTTATGTATCCATGTAGCTCGAGCTGAAAATATGGTTGGAAAATAAATATGGTTGGAAGCTAATAGTTGTTTATATTATTGAAAATGCACGGTCCACTTGATATATGAGAAAGTATACCCATTTCCTGACTAGTAGGTAAGCTCATTGTGGTTTGTTTGAATATATACCATGAAATAATGATAGAAAGAGATTACTATACAGTGACGATTAGCGCGGTGATCACAACAATTAAGTACATAACAGCATGACTACATCGTTCATAAACATGAATAAACCAAGTAAATACGAGTATAATGTTCTGGAAATCAGAAAACACTACATAACACAACATCCATGGATAATTTGTGTTAGATTCGTTAGAAAGTACAATATCTTTCGTATTAATTTTGACTACTTATGCTGCAAAATAGAAATCGGAAGTAAAGAAGGGTTTCTTATCTACGTATAAAGAAAACATGAGACGCCCAAAATATTATTTAAACCAGTCAAAGATAACTAAAGACGCAATTGAAAGGAACGAAGATGATAAAACCGGAAGTAGCTGAAGTGTGATTTTTTTTATATTTCACTGGAGACGATTACATGTGACTTTAGGCCAAAGTCTCTTTTGAAGAGCGGACCGAGATAGTGACGACGAGATATCGTATTTCCTTTAGATGTGAAATTTGTTCTTCAATAAACTGGACACGTAATCACATAGAATACCTTTTGACTGTGTTGTTGACAGGCTCTTCAGTGGTATATTACAATTTGTCCCCATTACATTATATGGATTCATCAACTCCCCGGGGGTTTGGAAGTTGATATATATATATGACTGATTCAAACTCACTCTGTCTTCATCACAATTTAAACGCTTTTTTTTATATATCTTATCTTCTTTGCATAAGGTCCAGCACATCTTTCAGGTCAGAGAATTTAGTGTTTCGCATCACTAGGTATTCCTAATTAGGCATACAATTATGAAATATTAATGACAAATATGAAAAAACACGCACATTTTATATCGTTTTTATCCTCAAACGCCAGTCATCTTCACTTCGTGAACCGAAAAATCAATTTTAATATAACTACAGCAGTATCATCTTGCTATTGTTATCACAAACCGGTGATTTCGTGTCAGCATTTAATAGAAGCATGTTAGAAAGCGACCTTGTTGTTAATAACATATCGAACATTGTGTGTATCTGTATATAAAAAATAAAAGTTATATTTAAGCAAGCTTTAAGAGTGGTTTATATAAACAAGTGTGCTGAAACAAACCTTATTTTGCCCCGAAAAGTTGGTCTGAAAATACGAAAATGTATTGAATGGACCATGTGTTCAATGACGTCGGTTTCTTGAAGTAATTCTTTGTACCAACTTTTTTTATCATTTAAAGAGTAACTATTTAACATTACTTTTCAAGAGCGTAAAGCTGTTTAATGAAATATAATTTTTGATATTCAATCGTTTCATCATAAAAGTAATTATCAAATTTGATTATAATTTATTTTATTTTATGAGTTGTTCTGTGAACTGTTAGATATATTCAACACACCTCGACGAGATTGTTTTCAAATCGGTGTTCTGAGTGTTCGATCGGTCGTGGTAAAACACCTGGATTCTGAAATGAATTGCAGAAGTCCACATCAACTGGTGATTTCGGTGTCTTTCTGCATTTACATTTGATTAATTATCATGTTTTTAAAATTTGTTTTGTGAAAATAAGTTAGGATTTAATAACTTGACTTTTCATGCTTAATACGACTGATTCACAATGACACGTTTATATTCTATTCCAGGGAAGTTGTTAAAAGAACTTTTAACTTATCGGTCAGATATTGCAAACAAACCGTGCTACGTCGGGGGTGGTTTGTCTGAAATAGTAAAAAATAAGAAAACATAAATATATTATGTACAGCGTCATTAAACGACTGGTATTACATTAGGATTTGTTGTCTTTGAATACTCATTTCACTGTGTTTTTTATACATCTAAAGCAACGCTTTGGATGAGAAACATTGTAAATGTATTATAGCATCAATGACTTTTGTTTGTACAGTCTGTTTTGTAGTTTCGTTTATCTTCGTTATTCCAGATCGTTTATGATTGGTTACACACCTCCACCAGATTACTCTCAAATCGATGTTCATGATGCTCTATCGGTCTGGATAAGACACCATGGTCCTACAATAGAGGTCGAGGACAGTCAAATGTTTGTACAACGCATTTAAGTGTCTTACGTTTTCTTTTTACATTTGTCTTTAGATGACATTAAAGTGAAAGTTTAAGTTTTGAATGCTTGAAAATTTCATAGATTATCAATATATGTTTCATATATATCACCTATCACTTTCAAAAACAAAGAGATTGTTTCATTTTAGTATTCCTTACAAACAGACCTTGCTACGTCGAGGATTGTATGTCTGAAAAAAGGAACGTTAATATTACTTAAGAGTTTGTAAAACTTTTCAATATTTTGAATATATGAAGTTTGTAAAGTTTTTTACAGATCTTGAATAGATAAAATATCAAGTTTGTTATATATGTGACTTTAACGGTTTTTTTAAAATTATTTTTAACTTGTTTTAATAATTGTAGAGTGTCATTATTCGTTTCATTACATTTGGTTTTAATTTCCTTCTTTGAGATAAATACGCTTACGATTACATTAGTTAATTTTCATTGTTTTTTTATTTATTTCTCTTTAAAACAGACCTCAACGAGATTGTTTTCAAATCGATGTTCATCATTTTCGATTGGTCGTGTTAATACGCCAGGATCCTGTAATGGAGATTCGTTTAAACATTCAGCTTTACCTGATTTTCACTCGTTAAATGATTATCTTTTAGTATCTATTTAAAAACTCTAACGAATTGATGACGTTTCTTCAATAGATACTTGATTCAACAGTTAGAGTGACACTTAGGAAACACTCTCTCGTGTGTCCGCATTACCGGACTGTCAGGTGTTATGTAAAGTTACCCCCACTGCACAGACGCCTGTTTGTTCACAAACAAAATAACATCTGATTTATAAAAAAAGTTCAATCAAGGAAAATGATAATGGTTCCTATGACAAGAAATAAAGAATGAAATGAATTATAAGGAAAGCTTAAACCATTCTAAGGGAAAGAAAACAGAGCATTGTAGATGTATTATAGAGATAAAGGAGATGGCAGAAGTCTGTTATAAGGTTACATATCTATATTCCGTCACAAAAATTCTAAAGAATGAAAGACTAATGTATATCAATAGTAACTATTATAACGAACCTGACTACGGCGTGGACTTGTGGTCTGAAATACGAAACATGTTCATATGTTGGTTTTAGTACATTGTACATGTACATTAGACAACAATATAATTCGTCATGATTACAACCATATTATCGAATCAACAAAAAAGTTGTATATGTTGTACTGATATGTAGAAAAAAGTTCGATCTCAAACTTAATCAGAATTGAAGCATTATCACACAATCATTAAAAACGGTTTGTAGATAATATGAGAACACACCTTCATCAGGTTATCTTCAAAACGGTGTTCATGATGTTCTATGGGGCGAGATAGCACACCTGGTCCCTAAAATATAATACAGTATTATCGTAACAATTAAGTCGCATTGTTGTTACCATACATAGTTTGTAAATGTTCCGGAATATGCACAGTTCATAGGTAACATAGGCAACTCAAGGTTATGCAACTCCAAACCAGTTTTTTTCCCTCTAAATATTGATACACACCGAATGATGACACTACGCTTTTAAAAGAAATATTCCAATATTTGTTCCACTTTTCTGCATATGTAACTGAAACAACATTGCGGCAACTGCTTTAAAAAAGGTTAACATAGATACTGAGAAGGACTCACTTATTTAGCATGAAAAAATCACATTATGGATACAAAGTTAATTGTCGCTTAAGATATTACACACTGTTGGTCAAATAAAGTTTTCTTTTTGACATCCCATAATATATACAGCATGATAACCTAAAAATTATATGCCGATAAAACAGGTTTATCATTATTTAGGACGAAGTACCATAGGTTTCATTAGCATCACGTGTCAATAATAAAAATGCCATTTAGGCTTATATTCTTCCATATTTGTGAATCTACTTTGTGAATAAAAAGCATATTAAAGCACACGTAAAGGCTCAGCATATGTTATCATAAATCAACATCTGGTTCACTTCACCCAATCTCTCACATGTTGAGTCAAGTAGAGTACAATGCACCAGTTCAAATACAACAATAGTTTTTGTAATACCATCGTCGACACAATACCAATGTATGCAGGACATACACAACATCAAAATTGTACGGAAACAATATTCTATGTGTCTATCGCGGTGCCTTCATTTCGCGTGTGACAAACCTGTTTTTCACTCACATCTTTATTAACCTTTCCCTCATTTGATCGCTGGAAAAATTAAATCATATTCATTTGATTATGATTTAGATATTATATTATCTGTTCCATAGAAAACTTTGTTAGTAAATGAAGGTCACAAGTATATCCTGCTTATTCTATCTTCAGTTTTGACATCGAGGACAATATTTGGCAAGAACAAGACATATTAAATGTAAAAAAAGAAATTAAAAAGATCAGTATGACAATTTAGAACATGAAATAATGTAATCGACTCTTCTTAACCAGTTTTATTTTCCTAAGAATTACCAAGATAAAATAGAAATCGGAACCCTTTGAACTTGTTTCATAGATATGACTTCTTGTTCATCTATTTATGACCTACCGATAGATGGGCCATGAATAGTTTATACTGTATGTCCGTATTTCTTCTCATAATTAATGACGAACATATTTTATTAAATTGTCAATAAAAAAAAAAAAAAAAAGTATGTCAGAGACATTTTAACAAAGTATCACTCTAATTATCTAATATATTTTTGGGAACAAAAATGAATTCAGCTTCCATACAATGTAGAATAAGATAAACATCTCTTTATGCTTCCTTTGCTGAAGAAGTCCTTTTTGTGACTATGGTTCCACTTCGTTGGCAGCTACTACATTTGAACCTAACTACAATGCGTTGATTTCCTAATCTATAGGCCACTGTCCGCTATATTTAAGATGATACAAACATACACCTCTAGTTGCGAAATTGCTTGTAGTATCTTGTTTCCTTGTCCGTATCAAATAATAACATATTGTTATACAAACCTACACACATTGCAGTCATACATTTAATAAAGTGTTCTAGTTGATAAGTATCAATTTAGCATTCAGTCGCTATGGTAACACTAAAATAATGCATTTCAATGCGCGAAAAGCTTAAAAAAAGGTAAAGTTACAGCAAGCATTTCCTTTAGCCTAGAATCAGGAAATTTGTAATATTTGAGTTAATTAGATTCAAAATGTCTATTTCATCTGAACATTTATCCAAATTTACTGCAAAATGAACATATTTAACACTATTCAATCAAATTAAAAACACCATGCTAATATATCTACAGCGCTATCAAGACAATATCATGGCATACTATTCCGTTTGTGGTTTTTTTCCAGGCCGAAAAAGCCTGTCAGAAACAGAAGATGATCAGAGCATGAAATATTTGCATGCCATGTCAAAATGCTTTAAGCAATACGTGAAAGATATACCGAATAAATTTGGGCCTATATAAGCAATAAGGCTCTAATAACAATGAGACTTTAGTGGATAATATGATAGGCAAAAGTGTGTAATTCGTAAGCAAATAAAATGTTCTGAAAAGATTAACAAAAAGGGAAAGCTCCGGGTATGTGTATACGGTATCCACTATCTACTGTATAGATGTGCTAAAACGCACCTTGGATGGGGGTCGTTCGTATAAACGCTTATGGTGAGCGATTGGCCCCGAGTATGCCTGGTGATCCTGAAGTATGAGTAAGAATATTGGGTAAAACATATTTCATTCTAATCTACACATGTCTTTCAACAATTTAATTTCAACCCATAAACACACTGGATAACAATGCAAATGTAAGGAAAATAAAAAGCAAGTGTGACAGACGTGTCTCTGCATCTAATGTAAATAGTCATGGCTGACAAAGAGAAGAATACTGCATTTGATTAAACGGTTTGCTGTCTAGTCTATAGATTTTTCAAGAGTATCTGCACTATAAGGTTTTCTAATGACAACGTGTGAGATTGGAATCAATCAAACTGATTGGGTAATAGGTAAAACTGTTTGTAACGAATTTAATATTTTTAATTGTAGCAATGTGGTTGATGTCATGTTACACCTCAACGATTATGTTTCGTGCATTGAAACGTATGTCTTTAAAGTAGGGTATTTCATCAGCAAAAGTATACATTTGAGTTTCTTTGTGATGTAATAATTGCTATAATTTGGACATGGTTCACAAAACACAGAACACGCGGCACATTGACAAACTCAACCTTGCACCACGAAACCACAAGGACTCTAACGAACCTGTGGCGGAAGGGACTTCTGAAACCAGATATATCAGCAAATGCGTCATTTATATAAGAAGATATCAGATACGTTTACATGAAAATGGAAATGTCATCAGGACACTGAGAACGCTCATTCACTAGCCGACAGAAATGCTTAAAGGAAAAAATAAATGTCAATCCTTTTAATATATAATTTTCTATGGAATGAAGTAAGTAATAAAAATAGTCTAACCAACCCAGGATACGATTTTGGTAAACAAAAGCTAAAAACTATAAAACGACTTGTTCCAGATCGACTGCAATGTCGAGCACATCGGATATATAATTTGTTTTGGTACAAAACACACAACACAAGCACTGTTGTTGGATATTTGAACACATTCGTATTGCTAATGTGACATATGAACCTTTGTGCAAAACCAACCTTTGAACCACTGCTTGCCCCAGGTGAAGGACGCGGATCGGCCTGTCCAATCAGAAACAGAATTTTACACTCCTTTTTTTGTGTTACCTTGTCATATATTGTACAACTTTAAGGCAATGATCAATCGACATCGTGCATTCCGTTAAAAAATTTATCATTTGTAAAGCCGGGTTTTTTTTAGGCAAAACCAATATCTAGGCCATTTCAAGATCTCCCAAGCCAATTGTCACTAAATTAACATTGAAAGCAAAGAAGGATTATTTAATAGATCGTTTTCATAAATGTTTTATCATAACAAGAACCGTATGGAACCAAGCAAAACATTGAAAATCATGCAACACCAAAACACAACATCAATTAATGACACTTCAAAAAGCGCGTTTTAGTATTTTATGATTGTCATTGATCTATCATTTAAAGAAAGATGCATAGATACATGGAATCATTATACATCAAATGGGAATGTAATGTCAGGCGAGAACCAGTAATATCTTGATACATTTGAAATGGGAAAAGTTACGGCAATGGAGAATGGTTTTATGAATTGTAATAAGATTCTAACTAACATCAACTTGATTTGGAGAGACTACATCAAAAACATGTAACACAAAGAAGATGACATTACAGTCAGGGATGTGCTTGTAACGCACCTGAATATGTTGTTCATACAAACGTTGGTGGTGAGCGCAAGGTCTCGGGTTGTCATGGCGTTGCTAAAGGACAAGTGTACATATCAACATATCGCGTCCTAAAGTTTATGAAGATTTGTAACACAGGATAGTAAAAGTAGAGTGACTTAACAGTCAATAAGAATTATTAATGTAATATTTTTCCAAAATAAGCAACGTCAGCTTTGCGGTTACTTTGAACATATATTTGATTTTTATCTGATAATGAGTAAACTTTACGTATATCATTTCAATGATAACACCGATCATTAATTCTTTATGTAGTTATAGAGACACGTTCTACACACCTGTATATTCTGCAGGTGATATGGCAGGTAAAGTTGTCTCGGTCTTTCTGCCTGTAACGGTATGCTACGTGTAAAAGCTACGTTTACATAGTGGCTTTCATGTGAAACGACTTTTTGGCAAACACTCGAAAAAACAGCTTCATAAAAACTCAGGATTTACTTGTTTGCTGGGATTTAAAGACATTCAGATTTCTCTATTCAGCAACACGATCTTATCTGGATTTTAATCGCTCATCGAGTAGATGAAATACAAATATTTACATAATTATATATTGTAACATGTATGAAAAATGTGTTCGTCTATTGTCCTTTTTCTTCAATTGATCAAAATGCCATAAGGGTAACAATCTAGAAAAGTCTAGTCTACTTTTGTCAAAAAAGTTTAAAAAGAAAGTTGATTGGCACGTAAAACTGTGTAGCAAACCATACGACGAACCATATTACAATATCCATTATTATGACTTTGAATGACCTGTGGAAATCAATGCTTATAGCTTATAACTTATGTAAATACATTGATGACATTAAATGTTTTGTTTGTTATGAAATTAGACAAAATAACCTTCCATAATAACCGTATTACAAATTACATGCTATTTCCTGTCTTTATCATTTTCCACGTTTTAAACTTAGTTGAATAGTTTATGACATAGCCATTTAAAAATACATCAGAATGGTATTTAAATTTCTAACATTCCACATTTCTGTGTAACACAAGTGCACAGTCCTACCCGGTCTGAGGTAGCACTATTCGGCTGAGATATGCTGTCTACGTGGTTCTCCTCCTGTTAACATAGACGTCCGGACTCATATGTCGTATGTACTGATAATTCTAATAACATATCAGTTATTCACCACCTTTAACGCACAGGATTTTAATACTGATAATACTTATTATTTTAAAAGTGATATTCAAACAAATGCATGATTATCATATACCAATTATGTCTCTTTTATTTTATAAAACCTTTCAACAAATAAAATGACTGGATAAGAACATCACAAATTATCATTCAAGACGCGTATATATTTGGCCAGACCACTCTAAATTTAGGAGAATGAGTTCCGTATGCTATATATGGACATACAAGTGACGATATCAATATTGACATTTGTAATATTACCTGTTATGGATGAGAGCATGAATATTATGATATAATTATATTCAATGAAAGGACATGTTACCATATCCAATGTTAAATATAAAGAAAGAAAAAGAAAAAATACCAACATGTCAACATTTTCACAATCCAAACTCGGATTCATTAATACTTAAGCAAAATGAAATATGAACAAAACCATATTTACACAGAAACTCCAGGAAACATTAAATAGATAATACGACCATGTGTTCCTGAAAAGTAAGCGTCTTTTGCTTTATCGACGATGCCCGCCATGTAAACCTAGGTCAATCCTAGTATGTAACTGCACGTTTTTTGTTTGTTTTTTGGTTTTTTTTTTGTTTTTTTTTTTTTTTTTAATTTCTTTTCGCTTATTTGATTAAATCGCTTTTTATCGCAAAATAGAATGTCCCTGGTATCCTATGCCCACCTGCCTACTCCCTTTGATTGGAGATTGGAATGAAATATAACGCATTCATCAAGTCAGGCCGACTGAGTTATATCCCGAGTTCTTACAGCTCTCTCGCCAAAACCGTTGGTTTCAATCGCTTGTCACATTTTTCGTTCGGGATAACCGAAACTGCAGTAATTCCAAGTTTTAATCATTATTGATTATTAATTCTCAGGTCGGTCCGAATGTCAAATTTGAATTCGGTGTCATAAAAAATGTTTCCTAGTGAAAGAAGGGATTCAATATCAGTTTAATTGTCTGCTAGAAAACTTGTATTCAGTTTTCACTCGAACATGAATGTACAACAACAAGTATGGAAAGCCATAAAGGATTAGTGTTTAGTCCGACAAAACTCTTAACTGAATTTGACGTTCAGCATAGATTCTACTTCATTTTTGTTAATTGTCAACATTTATATATAATATATATATATATATACATAATTTTCACCTCCAACGTCTTAATCATCTCCGGTGAATTCTGTGTCACGTACAGAACAACAACACTGATTGATCATGCACAAAAGATCGAATGCGATCACATTTTTATCATGACTATAAAGCGATTGTGCGGCAATAAATTCCTGATCTGAATCACTGTATTAGCTATGTATGAGATGACTCAGGATGTGATGTTATAAGTCCCCGATAAATCTTCCGCATAGACATCCCTGACTAGAGTGACAACAAGAGAATGACGACAATGTGTTTACATAACACTGCTGTATAATGACATGCACCGCAATGGTTGGCCGGTGTGACAAACACCTGTTCGTGCTCTATCGTACATTACAAAGTCAGGGATCTTGTAGATGTCACTGGGTAAGCTAATGTTCTGCTGATAACACACAATCCGCTACTGAATGTTTCAAACAAGTAACATTACAATTCAAATACCGGTATCTTTTAGCTGGTAACGTCAGAATTCCCCCCAAACAGCAATTTGTTATGGTCTTAGATAACTATGAAATGGCGTATACCTATCTAAACTAGCCCACTTGTTTACAAACCTGGCCAGCTATAGCAGTAATTATATTGCCAAAGAAAGCGACATCATGTTTTATAGATTTATATATATAAGTACAACCAAGGTCCCGTATTTTACTTATCACTGCGCTATATTTTTAACATGTGACAGGTACAACAACACTATTGAGGAAATTTAACTAGTTCGCTGTATATTTAACGTTCCACAAAAGAGCATGTACTTGACATTTTAAGTTTAATATAAAAGTAAAATGTATGAACTCATAGTACATCAACCGTACTTAAAGCCCAGCAAATTAACAAAGTAATAAAAAAAAACCCAATTGAAAGGCCGGAGGTAACCCTACAGAAAATGTCAGTGCTGTGTATTTGGTGGCGAATGTAGTCTATTGAAGACATCTGAGATCCATACACTGAAATCCTCTATACCATACACTGATCTCAATAGAGTAAACACAGGCCTCTCGTGGAGCTTTCTTCTCTTTACTCTGGTACGTGTAAATACATTAACTACCATATCGTCAATAGCTTAATAAAACAAGTTTGCTAATGAGAACACTTCTTTATAGACAAGTGATAGACAAAATTTACAAAATAATTTGGCTTTATCCCAAAACGGACATATTGTGTTTACGTAGTATCGAAATCTGACTAAATAACATAGTAACTACCTGTTTATACCACAACAGGCTATCCAAAATATATTGAATCTGGATAGCAGGACACTTTTTTCATAACGGTTATGGAAATAAAGTTAGACAATGCTTTTTGGAGAAAAAAAAACAGCAATATTTTTTAAAGTAGAGGGGCTATCAATTGCAAGCGATTTTTCAAAAATACTTAAATTTTCAATTCGTATGTTAAGCATAAAAGTATCCCTTTGACTAAGACAACTGGGAAACCTTTTAACTAAAATTATCCTTTGTTCCAAGGAATGAATGGCAGAACAATTAAACAATCTTACCCCTCCTCCCAAGTTGTGATGGGAATAAGGTTTGAAATTGCCGTCATGAAGTTCAATTCTGTCCAATTCCTTTCTCATCTGTCCCTTTGACATATCCTCAAATGCGTTGGCGGGAGGAGGTGGACGCGGCGAAGGACTCGGGGATCGGTGACGCCTGTTTCGATCTGATCTGTCCGTTAAAGGAGCATCATCAAACGTTGTAGCCCGGCGATCTACATCATATCCCGAACGATCCGTAAGTGGTAAATCCCTGTAGAAACTAGGGGGGTCCTTTTCGTTGAAATATGGTCGACTGTCATATTTTGATTCGTACCTTCGAGCAAGTTCCTGTGGTAGTATTGTAGCATTATTAGGATTTGATCTCAATGTATGTACTTCAGACTTTAGTACGTAATTCTCGGCCCTTAAATTCTCTAATTCCTGTCGCAAAGCATGCAACTTGGCTGAATGATTGTCGTTCCTAGCATGTATCTGCTCCAACCGGTTGTCATGGAAACCGAGATTTCTTTCCATATGTTCAAGACGTAAACCAGTATTTCGAGTGGCCATTTTGTTAACGCTGTGTATGTGTTAGATCGAGGTGTACAGACCTAACGGTATCCAACCTACTGGTCCCTAACTTCGCTGCGGAACTAACCATGTGACCAAACAGAAAGTCGACAAGATATTTGTCCCTACTTTATCGGTTAACAAACACCAAAAGAGCATTCATTCAGGAACGACAAAGACACACTGTATATCTGTACACCTCTTTCATCATAACAAAACCAGCTATTTTAACACTGAAAATGTTTAGAGGTATTCATATCTCAAAAGGCGTGAATGTCATTTGAATTTATCAATAAAGAGTAGAATTAATACAGTGAAAACACCCTACGACTTATTCATGGTCTATACAAAAACGTAACGCTGTCAAAAACATGACCTGATTCCTCTGATAGAACTATAACACTATATATCTACCATCATACGATTCTCTAACCACATACATACAAATGTCATCCTACACGGATATCGTATTAATTCACACCCAGACTTTGTAAAAATATCATACAATCTATGTCTACCATCATACGATTCTCTAACCACATACAAACAAATGTCACCCTACATGGATATCGTATTCGAAAGGATAAAGAAATCTAGAATTAGATGCGCCTGTGCTGATATCAATTATTCGATAGTTTATTATAATAACAACCTTTCTTTAAGTAGTTTGATTTAAAAAGTTTTAGACTGATAAATAAATATCAGACAAGAAACTTTTCCTTAGTTTGACAGCATCAATATCGAAGGTATGTCTATTACACTGTCCAATCTATTCTCATTTGTATGACTCAGTTAATCATCACGTTAGTACACAAAGACGATTGATACCAACTCCATCCCATATACACTGATTAGGTGATCGTATCATACAGGGAAAATTCAAAGCGAATCGTGCAGGTGATAGTGGGGAATATGTTCTCATTGATGGAATAAAAAAATTCAGAAATTTCTTTCGGTGCTACCTGTCTTTAATGGGCGGGGAAGGGCGGACCGCAGTGTATTTGACAAAACGAAGTTTGTGGTGGAGCTAGGAGAGTGAACCGTTTGTGTGATGTTAGCAAAAATAATGCACAGCGAATCACGTCAATAACACATCTATTCAAAACATAACATCGTTAATGACAACACAAGTTATAAATGGTTAGTAAAACACATTTAAACATATCAAAGGGAGATCATCCTGAATCAGACCACGTAAGTAACAATAACACAACCAAAAATTAATTACATAACATGTCAAATGAAATATTGTATGGTCAGGATTTACATGATATAAGTTTTATTGGTAAATAAATAAGAAATTGGACTGATTTGTCATAACGCGTGTTAGATTCCAAAGTTGACTGAACTGAATCACATATCGTTTGTATAAACCTGTACAGGGATCAACAAAGATTACCGCATCACTGATCGTTAATAATGTAATTTTAATTACAGACCGAATACGAATTACGTGTCAGAAAATATTAGTTGGAGTACTGAAGTAAAAACTCACCGCGTCCCCCTGTGAAAGAACAAAACGTAAAATGAGTGAATGCTATCATGAACGTCAAGTAAACAGACTAGTACTAATCGTCATTATATTGCTTAATTATATACCGCTGTATTTCCTTTTCTTCAACCTTTGCGAGAAAGAAATCATAACAGATATATATCGAATGAATTATATATATATGTTAGGTCGTTATTTATACAATTTAAATGTAGTAAAATATTATTTTGTTTATTCAAATATAGCTTTCTCTCTTTGAACTTACCCGTGCTCTGATGTCGTTAATCATCTGCTGTCTTTGTGTAAACTGAAACAACAAATTTCAATTTATAGAGGCATAAACCCTTACAATTTCTATGACTCCGGTATGAACCCTGACAGTTTCTATGACTCCAGTATGAACCCTGACAATTTCTATAACTCCGGTATGAACCCTGACAATTTCTATGACTCCGGTATAAACCCTGACAATTTCTATGACTCCGCTATCAACCCTGACAATTTCTATGACTCCGGTATCAACCCTGACAATTTCTATGACTCCGGTATGAACCCTGACAATTTCTATGACTCCGGTATAAACCCTGACAATTTCTATGACTCTTTCTATGACTCCGGTATCAACCCTGACAATTTCTATGACTCCGGTATGAACCCTGACAATTTCTATGACTCCGCTATCAACCCTGACAATTTCTATGACTCCGGTATAAACCCTGACAATTTCTATGACTCCGCTATCAACCCTGACAATTTCTATGACTCCGCTATCAACCCTGACAATTTCTATGACTCCGGTATGAACCCTGACAATTGCTATGACTCCGGTATGAACCCTGACAATTTCTATGACTCCGGTATGAACCCCGACAATTACTATGACTCCGGTAGCAACCCTGATAATTTCTTTGACTCAAGTATGAACCCTGACAATTTCTATGACTCCGGTATAAACACTGACAATTTCTATGACTCCAGTATAAACCTAAAAATTTCTATGACTCCAGTATCAACCTTGACAATTTCTATGACTCCGGTATAAACCCTATCAATTTCTATGACTCCGGTATGAACCCTATCAATTTCTATGACTCCAGTTTGAACCCTGACAATTTCTATGACTCCGGTATGAACCCTGACAATTTCTATGACTCCGGTATTAACCCTGACAATTTCTATGACTCCGCTATCAACCCTGACAATTTCTATAACTCCAGTTTGAACCCTGACAATTTCTTTGACTCCGGTATGAACCCTGACAATTTCTATGACTCCGGTATGAACCCTGACAATTTCTTTCACTCCAGTTTGAACCCTGACAATTTCTATGACTCCGGTATAAACTGTTACAATTTCTATGACTCCGATATGAACCCTGACAATTTCTATGACTCCGGTATGAACCCTGACAATTTCTATGACTCCGGTATGAACCCTGACAATTTCTATGACTCCGGTATGAACCCTGACAATTTCTATGACTCCAGTTTGAACCCTGACAATTTCTATGACTCCGGTATAAACCGTTACAATTTCTATGACTCCGCTATCAACCCTGACAATTTCTATGACTCCGCTATCAACCCTGACAATTTCTATGACTCCGATATGAACCCTGACAATTTCTATGACTCCGGTATAAACCGTTACAAATTCTATGACTCCGCTATCAACCCTGACAATTTCTATAACTCCAGTTTGAACCCTGACAATTTCTTTGACTCCGGTATGAACCCTGACAATTTCTATGACTCCGGTATGAACCCTGACAATTTCTTTCACTCCAGTTTGAACCCTGACAATTTCTATGACTCCGGTATGAACCCTGACAATTTCTATGACTCCAGTTTGAACCCTGACAATTTCTATGACTCCGGTATAAACCGTTACAATTTCTATGACTCCGCTATCAACCCTGACAATTTCTATGACTCCGCTATCAACCCTGACAATTTCTATGACTCCGATATGAACCCTGACAATTTCTATGACTCCGGTATAAACCGTTACAAATTCTATGACTCCGCTATCAACCCTGACAATTTCTATAACTCCAGTTTGAACCCTGACAATTTCTTTGACTCCGGTATGAACCCTGACAATTTCTATGACTCCGGTATGAACCCTGACAATTTCTTTCACTCCAGTTTGAACCCTGACAATTTCTATGACTCCGGTATAAACTGTTACAATTTCTATGACTCCGATATGAACCCTGACAATTTCTATGACTCCGGTATGAACCCTGACAATTTCTATGACTCCGGTATGAACCCTGACAATTTCTATGACTCCGGTATGAACCCTGACAATTTCTATGACTCCGGTATGAACCCTGACAATTTTTATATCTCCATTATTATTGCTGACAATTTCCATGACTCCGGGATAAACGCAAAGAATATCTTTGACTACATTTATGATCTTTGATATATGCTATGATTACGGTATAACGATTGTCATGATTCTGGTTTGGAACACCATTGCTTATGCTATATTCTTTAACGCCAGTTTAAGTCTGACAACAGCACCAATCCTAATAATCCTAACTTTAAGTTTAATTTTCCAAAAGCATGCACCCAGAAAACAATAAGGCAAGTCCCGTGTAAGGGAACTGCATAAAAGCAACATGTAAGTTGTTGATTACGTCACTTCAACAGAACAAGATGCACTACATGCATATTATTAATACAAATACAGTTTATGAGAAAATATATTAAAAAAAATTTTAAAAAGTAAATAAATAATTTCAGAAATGCAATCGGTGAAGTGGATTTAGATATGCCGGAAGATGACCATAATTTCATTTTGAATCTCGCACTTGAACGTATGATATTGATGTAAATATCCTTTTTAGAAAATTGTTTTTAGTTTGTGAAGTTACATTATAATCAACGAGTGCTCATATTGCAATGTTTACTGATAAAAGAAAAGTTCCATTATATGGCTTACACTAGAAGTATATTGATCAAAATCAAGGCTTTACAGTAATAATGAATATTTTGTCTATATTTTAATATTATAAATATTTATACTAGTCTAGCTTTGCTTGCGAGTTCCTGATAATATGTGAATTGATATAAGCGTCAAGCTTTGTTTCCTACTATTTTGTACATGTATAATATTGTTGAATTATTAAATAAATATTGTTTAAACTAACTAATATATATAAGAAGTACTTCCCCTGCTATCGCATGCATTAATGTCGAGATATTTATGACCATTACTAAGAACATTTTTAAGTAAAGCATTTCACCGTTAATATTAAGGGACATAACTCAAGCAACCAAAGACTAAATCACTAACGTCTATCGTCTACCACTTAATTTCCACATAGCAAACTTACGTCTCCATATTCCCTTTGTGTTGTTCTAGAATCAAACTGAAATTCAAAGTCAATGAGGAAATACATCGGTATTATATCCTCTATGTAGGTTACCATAGAAACAGTCATATTTCCATAGTTACCTACTGAATAGAAACCTTAACGTATTGCAAACAAACGTAAAACATAAACACAATGGGCCGTTCAGTATGTGTGTGAAGATACACAACCTTGAAAACAATGGAAATTTTAGATCCTGATTTTTTTCTCTACCGTTATGATATAAACCAACTTTATCAAATATAAAGAAAATGTACTCACATCTCCATAGTCATGCTGAGTGGTGCTGTTGATTGCATACTGCAATATATTATATCATTATGTCACCATCGATCAGTCAATGGAAATCATATATCCATCAATTTAAATATCGTTAGCAATTTACGGTGGTGGTATAGACGATATACAGTAAAGCACTGATAAGTCGATGTCGACGAAACCAAAGGAAACATTCGACTTATCTGATGGTCTAGAGGGTATAGTTTATATTTTTTGAAAGGAATTAATTTCATTTAAATCATGGCACTAAGATACACTACTATACTATACTTTAGTTTGATTTTGTTTCGTTTTTTAAATAAGTCAATTAACTTTCATTTTTAAAAATGATACAAATCAAAATGTTGATATATTTCAACATCAATGATAACAGGTTCCTTACGGTATGTAATATATACAAAGATTTACGGTGACAGAAAGAGTTCTTACAGCATAAATGGATTTACATTTAACTTACTCTACACATGGATTACGTTACAATGTTCTAAATCATCATAAACTGATAGACACAAATTGGTGCTGATAAGACTTCACAAATGATTCGAGCGAAATATATATGGATTCCATTGTGTACTTACTGTATTAAAAGGCGGAAGATCCTCTCGGCTCATCTGAATTAATATATAAAAGTATGGATAACAAAACAGGTTACACGTGATGACAAGATGTATTTCTAACTTAAATTTTGAAAATCATGTCAACTTCTGAAGAGCTAAAATATAAGAACGGAGACTCTTAGAAATCGTTTATGAATAAAGACACGAACAGTCAATGTCTTAAGTGCTTTATGATGAAACCTACAATTAAAACATCAACTGTCTTTTTTTGGCCGAATAATCAACCAACTGACAATTACACAAACATCAATAGTTTTGATACACTCTTGGACTTTTCGTATTACAGTTTGACAGATCCGCGCTAATTTATTCATCATGTCATTGTACAAACTTTAAAAGAAATACAATTTCATGTATAATACGACTTCGCCAAAATACAGCCTGATTGTAGAGAACGGGAGGTTAACGTGCTATCTCAATTTTATTTGCAACATAAGCTTAGCTTAGTCGAAATGCGAACATCCAACATGAAGTTTCACTGGCATCGTGAGTTGTATTATCAACTTACATCATAATAGGGATATTGCCGTGGGTTACTAAGTCCGGGAACAGGAGAAGCTCCATCATAGCCCTGAAAACACAACCTTATCTCAGTTATATTGCTGGTTAGTTTATCATTGACATTATAAACGAGTCCTGGATGATCTTACGTCACTCACAATTTACATTGGTTAAGGCTTATGTATAGTGAACTCATTATTGCTTTGTTGCTGAAGCGTTTGACACAGAAGCTTGTCTTTCAGTTTGTGTAAAAATATGAAATATAAAATTAGAATGACGAAAGCGAGCGTGCGAATATTTAAATTACAGATGCTACTCTTTATGTTTAGGTTTATCCATGCAGTATTCTATGTCTCACTTACCCTGCGGTCTGAAAGAGGTGGCTGACGGCGCGGTGATCTCGGTGAATGATGTGGGGATCTGTGAGGATCCTAAAGCGATAAAATGATCAAGCATATGGAAAAGGTCTAAATCGCGATAGTTAGGTCACAGACAACAAATCCATTTCATTGCAACACAATTTGACATTAATATTGTTTGATAGCAACCAATGATCTACTGTATGACTTTGACTTCGGTGATTTTATCCCAATGCCTTTCTACAATATTCTACAAAAGACTATACAAATGTGACACGTTTATGACCTTCGGGAGTTGAAATATACAGGAAATAGATAAGTGTAGGACCTTTCGGTATAACACTACGTCAATTTGGTTGCCGTCAGTATCGATGTTTAAAGCTCCATAGTAAACCCTCTTAAACTTCACGAATTCCTCATGTCTCGTTCTGTTTTATCGTAACGGAATGAACTTAATATACCGTTCTACAGTGGAACAGAAACAATTACATCGAATCAATTGTTGATCATTAAACTGTAGTTTTATCAATGAAAATTACCTGCAATGGTGACACGACATGCTGTACAAGGTGAGGTGAGGTAAATTATTATGGTACATATAAAAACAGTGAAAATGCATAACGAAGTAGAAACAAATTAATTAAAGCATGGTTAGGTTGAGATAAAAAAAAAGTGGAAAATATGGCTAACTAGCGACTACAAAAGTAGGAGGTATGGATGATAACAGATATAGTAGAATGTATGGTAGTGATATATAAACAGACTGACCAACAAACGGGAAGGGTTAAGTAATAATTTCGTAATAACAGATACTGTAGCCATGAGATAAAAAAGTAAGACCAGCCTACCATTTTCCGTAATGACAGACACCGTAGTGTGAAATGTAAAAAGTGAGACCAGCCTACCATTTTCCGTAATGACAGACACAGTAGTGTGAAATGTAAAAAGTAAGACAAGCCTACCATTTTCCGTAATGACAGACACAGTAGTGTGAAATGTAAAAAGTGAGACCAGCCTACCATTTTCCGTAATGACAGACACAGTAGTGTGAAATGTAAAAAGTGAGACCAGCCTACCATTTTCCGTAATGACAGACACAGTAGTGTGAAATGTAAAAAGTAAGACCAGCCTACCATTTTCCGTAATGACAGACACCGTAGTGTGAAATGTAAAAAGTGAGACCAGCCTACCATTTTCCGTAATGACAGACACAGTAGTGTGAAATGTAAAAAGTAAGACCAGCCTACCATTTTCCGTAATGACAGACACAGTAGTGTGAAATGTAAAAAGTGAGACCAGCCTACCATTTTCCGTAATGACAGACACAGTAGTGTGAAATGTAAAAAGTGAGACCAGCCTACCATTTTCCGTAATGACAGACACAGTAGTGTGAAATGTAAAAAGTAAGACCAGCCTACCATTTTCCGTAATGACAGACACCGTAGTGTGAAATATAAAAAGAGGACTGACAAGGACTGATAAAGCACCATGCCAAAAAGCATGGCAATCAATTCAAATTCAATTTGTAAAGTTCTCAAAGAAAATTTGATTTAAAACGGGTGGAATTTTAAGCGCATATATTATTTTTCTACTGTGTTAGAGGTGAAGTTGGTAACCTTACATTTGATGTAAGTGGAGAACACGATTAGTGGAATTCTATAACGCGACTAAATGAGATAAATCGGGGCAATCAATGACTACTTTAGAGAACCACCTCTTGATCATGTGCTTTGTTCTCATCAAGACATACACAAGGGAAGATAACTCCCATTAGGTGGTAATTAGTCAGTGCAGACATAACCACTACACGGAGAATATCCGATAGGAGAGCGCTGTGTAAAGATACTTACAGCATAGGACGCTTCACCCGGTTGCATAGGCTGCCGAGGGGAATTGTCTCCATATCGCTGTTTAAACAAGTGATTTGTATGTCTTAATTAATTTTCTCTATAGTTCCATCATCTCCTCATCACGTGCCTCATACACAATATAGCTATATTCCTATTTACGTATAATATCAGTCACTTTGAATCACGTGTGTCTACGATAAAAGTGTTTAACTAACACAACATTCTAGCCTAGGTGTGTAACATTAATCTTTGAAAATTACGTGTAACGTAAGTGAGGTATTGCCTAATACAAATATTTAAAAAAAAAATAAATAAATAAATACAAAAACATACAACAATAAAATACCAACATGTGAAAGTATCATAATTCAAATTCAATTTCAATAGAACTGGGGAAATATGACAAAAGAAAGATTTTTTACACGGAATAGGTGTTCCGGAAGAGTAAGCGACTTCTGCTTCATCCACGATACCCGTCATGTAAACCTTGGTCAATCCAAGTAATATCATGTTCTCAAATGAGAACGAAATATAGAACAACGGAACCAAACGGCAAACTAACGAGCATCAAACATGCCCAGCTTCATATCGTACAACGGAACCAACAGGTAAACTAACGAGCATCAAACACGTCCAGCTTTATATCGTACAACGGAACCAACAGGCAAACTAACGAGCATCAAACATGCCCAGCTTCATATCGTACAACGGAACCAACAGGTAAACTAACGAGCATCAGACACGCCCAGCTTCATATCGTACAAAGGAACCAACAGGTAAACTAACGAGCATCAGACACGCCCAGCTTCATATCGTACAAAGGAACCAACAGGTAAACTAACGAGCATCAGACACGCCCAGCTTCATATCGTACAACGGAACCAAAAGGCAAACTAACGAGCATCAAACACGTCCAGCTTCATATCGTACAACGAAACCAACAGGTAAACTAACGAGCATCAAACACGCCCAGCTTCATATCGTACAATGGAACCAACAGGCAAACTAACGCGCATCAAACACGCCCAGCTTCATATCGTACAACGGAACCAACAGACAAACTAACGAGCATCAAACACGTCTAGCTTCATATCGTACAACGGAACCAGCAGACAAACTAACGCGCATCAAACACGTCTAGCTTCATATCGTACAACGGAACCAACAGACAAACTAACGAGCATCAGACACGTCCAGCTTCATATCGTACAACGGAACCAACAAGTAAACTAACGCGCATCAAACACGCCCAGCTTCATATCGTACAATGGAACCAACAGACAAACTAACGCGCATCAAACACGCCCAGCTTCATATCGTACAGTGAAAAAGAACATTTATCAATGAGGTCACTAAAACGACCATAAAACTTCCACATAATTTTTTATCAACCTGTATCTTTTGAAATCTTGCGTTACAAGTTTGTCAGTCAGTTGATGTTTTTATGCACCAAATAGGTGAAATATGATTAAGAATATTTGTATATAGGGAAGTTTGTGTCCATCTGTTTGTACATTTGTTTTTAATTCTTCTTTAAGATTGTACAAAATACAAGCGAGCAATACATTTCAATACAAAATTTCGAATGATAATTATAAGAAAACAAAAAATAAAAAACAAAATTGATTTTAAAATGAGCAACCGCACCATACAATTGTTTTTTCCTTCTAAGACTCGATAGTGACGCATGTCAAAGCATTAGAAACATTGGTTTGTCGTAATAAATGTCAAAAACGAAAATTCAAGAAAGTTCCTAACGAACAATATTGTTTCCAAACGAATCACAAATACAAATGATTTCAAAGTTTCCTGATATTTACATCTGATATTTCCTTAACTACTTTTGGTTGAAATCACATTGTACACTCTTCTAAATGTTAGACAGTTGGAATAAGAAAACAGGAAAACGTCATAAAGATCTAGCAAGAGGAACACTCTCCAAAGCAGTGAGATCTCCAGGGGAGGAAGTGCGAGGTCTGTTAGATTACCACCATTGCCTGGGATTACGGCCCCACTGGTTCGTTAGGGATCTCGTCCCAGATATAAGTGTTCACAGACCTTGTCCTTCGTTTCCCAGAACTATGATTTTGTTTTTTGTGAATACTTACTCGATCTATTGGTTCTCTGGGCGCCTCTCTGAAGTATCTTTCATCTCCCTGTCAATCCAGGATATACAATATATATGTCTACATGTTGTATGTCTATATCGTATAGATTAAAAAGGGAAAGTCACCGGGTATGTTATTACAAGTTATTGTCTAATCCATAAATAAGATTCCCATATATCTGAATGAGTCTTCATTAACGACCCCTGCCTGATCTTATTGTATAGTACACCAGCAAATATAAACACAAAACCTATTTAATAATCTTCAGATATCAATTCAAAAATGTACATGCTAGTATTGTTCTTGTAAGCTGTGTTTATGACGTGTGCACGTGTACAAACTTACGCGTGGTGGCCCCTCCTGATAGTATCCGCCATGAGGTGAGGAGTCTCTGTACGAAGGCCGCCCTCGGGGAGACCTCTGCAAACAAACAAAAGTTTATGAATTGCAATATATACTTAAAGACAAAGTTTTTATGTTCTTTGTGAAAAGTATCCTCTTCGATAAAGTTTTATATTTCAAACATGTACTAACACTATTGAGAACACAAACGTTGTCAGAATTACAACTGTACTAATACTAGTGAAAACACAAACCTTATAAGAATTACACCTGTGTTAATAGTATTGAGATATATGGTTATAGAACAGTCAATAACATTGGTTTAAAATCGTTTTGATTTGGAGGTTGTAGTAGTTTATTTAGGGTAAAAACCATATGTTGCATACACATTTGATAGCGTACATAAACTAACCGCAATATGTACTGGTAATCTACCCCGATTTATCACCCTAGCCTACTCTCTCCTCCATGTGACACTGAGTACATGTTCACACGTATATCTCACCATTACCTAACGTATCAATCAATACTTGGCATTATACATGTCTTAAGGCTGGTGCCCCCGATTTGTGAATCTTGTTTTTTGTGAGTTTTGTTTTGTTTTTTTTTTTTTTTTTTTGCAAAATGACTTTATTTCAGCCAGACCTAAACCATTACTAATCCTTATATACAGAAGTATTTTAAGTGAATATTTAAGTCGGACATAAAATTTGGTGTCTGATTATCTATATCATTCAAGGTCGGTCTATTCTGTCTAAAAATGAACCACTGATTTATCCATTTAGTGATAAACCATACAGATATACATCAGCCGGAAGTCACTTAACTGGCGTTTATAAGTCACACGGTATATATGTATCTCGTCTCGCATGTTAACTGGACAAAACATAGGGTATCCCGCGACAATACAAGGTTTGCAAAGCGTATATATATATATATATAGCTTTAAATATCTATAATGAATTCAAGGCAACTGACGCCATTGAGTTTCTAACACAAACATTCGCTACAACTTACATTCTATAATAAGCAATCACGATTCCATATTTTATAGCTGTAATGTTAAGATATCTATTTCGTTAATAGATTTAAATGTCACACACTCTTGATACCAATACCAATGTTTTAGTCATTGTCATACAAGCAGGATTTAAGATACGTTTCAACACACATAGAGAATGTAACATGAAAACAAGGTAACCGTGTTTACTGTAATTAGTTCACTTTACTAGATTAACAGCGCGTATCTAATAGAAACACTATGGCGACCACAGATCAACACGAGTACTTACAGATATAGAAGGAAATCAATACAACGCCTAAAGTCCAATAGTGACACGACTTAAATAAGATATACACATGGACTTGAGGCTCTACTGAAATCATCAGATATAAGAAAACAAATTTATTGAATTATGAACAGGTGCATTACCTAATCTAAATTTTGATATTTTGCACTCTGTATTTTCCTTAGTCGCCTGTTGGGCTTCAACATTTAGACCCTTAGCATCACTGACATGGCGTAGAAGGACAAAGCAGCTGTATCATGCAGTGTGATTCATTGGTTTGTTCTATTTCATCTAACACTAAATTTGTATTATAACGTGTCTTTTGTATCATCTTCAATCAGAGGAAGTATGTGAATGGAAACAACACGTACATCTGTGTAATGTTTTAACACAAAGTAACAACACGCACACCTGTGTGATGTTTTAACACAAAGTAACAACACGTACACCGGTGAAATGTTTTAACACAAAGTAATGGAACTCGCCATGGGGAGGGAAATATTGTATAATGTTATGTAAATTAATGCTAGCTATAAATTATGTACACATATGATACTGCGCACAAACGTATCACGTATTGGGAAATATTTACTAACAGGAATATTATAACATATATATGTATATATAACACATATGTGTTACAAATGTGTATAGTCTTGCTAACACAAGTACATGTATTACATAAAGCGTTAACGGCATAATATCGGTATTGGCGTTTAAACACTTGTGTGCGATTACAATCATGTGTATCGGTGATCTGCTATCTGTGGCCATATGTATATATTGGGAGAATGCCCACCACCCTTTACTTGCATGTAATACTTTGTAAACGTACCCTTTACGACTCTCAAAAATATTGGAAATATTGAAAGAAACCAGTGCATTTATACATGTTTTAAATAAATAATGCTTATTAATCGCAAACAAATTCAATATAAACGATAAATATGAATTGTAACCTTATCAGTAGTTAGACAATAACAAGGTACATAATAAGTATATTGTAAAACTCTGCCAAAACAATACAAAGACTTCCACCAGTCTGACCGACAAAACCCACTGCCAATACTAAATGTGTGAAGGCTATGTAGCCGTAATCCGGTCTTTTTATTGTGGGGAGATGATGTGTTCATAAGTGTCAAAGTGTTCTTTGTTATATTGTATTGGAACGCCAATTCTATCCCAATCGATTTAATTAAAGTAAGTGATAAATTAATGTATAGTGCTACGTTTGTGGTTATGGAGTGGTTAGACTGGTGTGGTAGTATGTTTTATTCATTTACGTCAGATAAATATTTTAGAAGGTTATTCTTTAAATACAATTAAATTGTTTCTAAACAACTTTTTTCTGCAAAGCATTTTTAGAAACTAACACATTCCAAATTACAAACTCGTAATTACAAACATACATCAATGAATAAAGTACGGTGCTCGTATTACATAGGTAGTGTTTTATAATCATACACAACGAGAACGACCAGGTAACATAAAACATTGTATATCACTAAATTGATGTTTTAGCCTTACCGATAGGGCGAATAACATAGAATACCCCCTCCCTCCTCCGAATTAGGTTACTGGGAAAACAATGAATAAATTAATCCTTTGTTTGATTGGGCTGTATAACTTGTTTTGAAAAGCATCGTATACTTGGGTTTCATTTGTAAAATCTATTGGCGTTAGCAAAGATTCATTGAATACTAACGATATTGGGCATTTTCCTAGATTGGCATTTGTAGCAAGTGACCATTAATTGATATATCAATGATTGCACAAAAGACACCCAAGTGAATGCAACCTTTTAATGCAAGTTTAGAGTAAGATGCAGTAGAGCCAAACAATGAATTTAACTGCATCATACAGCTGTTCGGTCCTTCTAGGACTCGTCAGTGATGCTACATCATACAGCTGTTTCGTCCTTCTAGGACTCGTCAGTGATGCTACATCATACAGCTGTTCGGTCCTTCTAGGACTCGTCAGTGATGCTACATCATACAGCTGTTCGGTCCTTCTAGGACTCGTCAGTGATGCTACATCATACAGCTGTTTCGTCCTTCTACTCGTCAGTGATGCTACATCATACAGCTGTTTCGTCCTTCTAGGACTCGTCAGTGATGCTACATCATACAGCTGTTTCGTCCTTCTAGGACTCGTCAGTGATGCTACATCATACAGCTGTTTCGTCCTTCTAGGACTCGTCAGTGATGCTACATCATACAGCTGTTCGTCCTTCTAGGAGGACTCGTCAGTGATGCTACATCATACAGCTGTTTCGTCCTTCTAGGACTCGTCAGTGATGCTACATCATACAGCTGTTTCGTCCTTCTAGGACTCGTCAGTGATGCTACATCATACAGCTGTTCGGTCCTTCTAGGACTCGTCAGTGATGCTACATCATACAGCTTTTCGGTCCTTCTAGGACTCGTCAGTGATGCTACATCATACAGCTGTTCGGTCCTTCTAGGACTCGTCAGTGATGCTACATCATACAGCTGTTCGGTCCTTCTAGGACTCGTCAGTGATGCTACATCATACAGCTGTTCGGTCCTTCTAGGACTCGTCAGTGATGCTACATCATACAGCTGTTCGGTCCTTCTAGGACTCGTCAGTGATGCTACTACATGATGCTATACAGCTGTTCCTTCTAGGACTCGTCAGTGATGCTACATCATACAGCTGTTTCGTCCTTCTAGGACTCGTCAGTGATGCTACATCATACAGCTGTTCGGTCCTTCTAGGACTCGTCAGTGATGCTACATCATACAGCTGTTCGGTCCTTCTAGGACTCGTCAGTGATGCTACATCATACAGCTGTTCGGTCCTTCTAGGACTAGTGATGCTACATCATACAGCTGTTCGGTCCTTCTAGTACTCGTCAGTGATGCTACATCATACAGCTGTTCGGTCCTTCTAGGACTCGTCAGTGATGCTACATCATACAGCTGTTCGGTCCTTCTAGGACTCGTCAGAGAATCTACAGCATACAGCTGTTTCGTCCTTCTAGGACTCGTCAGTGATGCTACATCATACAGCTGTTCGTCCTTCTAGGACTCGTCAGTGATGCTACATCATACAGCTGTTCGGTCCTTCTAGGACTCGTCAGTGATGCTACATCATACAGCTGTTCGGTCCTTCTAGGACTCGTCAGTGATGCTACATCATACAGCTGTTTCGTCCTTCTAGGACTCGTCAGTGATGCTACATCATACAACTGTTTCGACTCGTCAGTCCTTCTAGGACTCGTCAGTGATGCTACATCATACAGCTGTTTCAGGACTCGTCAGTGATGCTACATCACACAGCTGTTCGGTCCTTCTAGGACTCGTCAGTGATGCTACATCATACAGCTGTTCGGTCCTTCTAGGACTCGTCAGTGATGCTACATCATACAGCTGTTCGGTCCTTCTAGGACAGCTGTTCGGTCCTTCTAGGACTCGTCAGTGATGCTACATCATACAGCTGTTCGGTCCTTCTAGGACTCGTCAGTGATGCTACATCATACAGCTGTTCGGTCCTTCTAGGACTCGTCAGTGATGCTACATCATACAGCTGTTCGGTCCTTCTAGGACTCGTCAGTGATGCTACATCATACAGCTGTTCGGTCCTTCTAGGACTCGTCAGTGATGCTACATCATACAGCTGTTCGGTCCTTCTAGGACTCGTCAGTGATGCTACATCATACAGCTGTTCGGTCCTTCTAGGACTCGTCAGTGATGCTACATCATACAGCTGTTCGGTCCTTCTAGGACTCGTCAGTGATGCTACATCATACAGCTGTTCGGTCCTTCTAGGACTCGTCAGTGATGCTACATCATACAGCTGTTCGGTCCTTCTAGGACTCGTCAGTGATGCTACATCATACAGCTGTTCGGTCCTTCTAGGACTCGTCAGTGATGCTACATCATACAGCTGTTCGGTCCTTCTAGGACTCGTCAGTGATGCTACATCATACAGCTGTTCGGTCCTTCTAGGACTCGTCAGTGATGCTACATCATACAGCTGTTCGGTCCTTCTAGGACTCGTCAGTGTTGCCTTCTAGGACTCGTCAGTGATGCTACATCATACAGCTGTTCGGTCCTTCTAGGACTCGTCAGTGATGCTACATCATACAGCTGTTCGGTCCTTCTAGGACTCGTCAGTGATGCTACATCATACAGCTGTTCGGTCCTTCTAGGACTCGTCAGTGATGCTACATCATACAGCTGTTCGGTCCTTCTAGGACTCGTCAGTGATGCTACATCATACAGCTGTTCGGTCCTTCTAGGACTCGTCAGTGATGCTACATCATACAGCTGTTCGGTCCTTCTAGGACTCGTCAGTGATGCTACATCATACAGCTGTTCGGTCCTTCTAGGACTCGTCAGTGATGCTACATCATACAGCTGTTCGGTCCTTCTAGGACTCGTCAGTGATGCTACATCATACAGCTGTTCGGTCCTTCTAGGACTCGTCAGTGATGCTACATCATACAGCTGTTCGGTCCTTCTAGGACTCGTCAGTGATGCTACATCATACAGCTGTTCGGTCCTTCTAGGACTCGTCAGTGATGCTACATCATACAGCTGTTCGGTCCTTCTAGGACTCGTCAGTGATGCTACATCATACAGCTGTTTCGTCCTTCAATGATACTAAGGGCTTAACGTTTGAAGACTATGAGGCGATTGAGGAAAATCCAAAGTTATCGCCAGAAATATCAAAATCTAACCGGAGAGGTGCAGTAGTCCCATGATTAAAGGATTTTAGTAATTTTTAGATATCAGAAATTCTAGAACAACACCAAGTACATGTGTATGAATTGAAACGTGGCCTGCAGGTAACGACAAACCTCAAAATTAAGTATAGCTTTAGATTAACTTCAAGACACTTCTTCGTTCATTACACGATTCACGATGTTTCCACTTAAAATATTGTCGTGTATGTTAAAACTTATTTGCATAACTTGAACAAGGGAGATAACATTGCATGAACATGATCAATATAAACTTTCCTATTTCAATGATTGCTCGTTGTACTTACGTCGTAATCACGTTTGTAGGTTGTCTGCTGGTAATACTGAAAAAGTAAACATGATGTTTAAAATACATTAATGAAAATAAAAACAAAGATAAACACTTATCACTAACTTCAATAAAAACAAAGGGAAAAGGAAGAAAAGAAAACTAAAATTGTTGAAATACTTCACCCATTACAATGCATTCAAATACGCTTAAGTACTGTTAAATGAAGCCTTTTTTATGTAAATAAGACAAAACAAGTTCCATGATAAATAAAACACAATATTAACATTTATTTCGACTAGGGAGTGTATAAACTAAACAAATACATGATAACATGCATTCATTGCAGCAAAATAAATGAGTAGCATTGAGGTCATACACATAAAATGTTGGTTAGATTTCGACAAGTGACTAGCTTTTCGCAATCATACCAAACCGTGTGTTAGAGAGTAAACATGACCAGCGAACGCAGCACAAATCTATGAATATTTTAATTAAATGATTGCGATGTTATTCATTACAGATGTCCATATAATAGTATAAGTATGAACTGGTTATAATGACATTGTGATGTCAGGGTATGTCAATAAAGCAATGATCGACATCAATTCGTTCTATGCATCATAACGTCACACGGACAAGGGGAAAAGTTTCCGTATAAGTGACAAGTATATAGCGTGATAAAAGGAATCTTTAAATTATGTCCATTCCATTTAAGATTAATGAAATGATTTGGGTGATGTAAGATCATATGCCTGATGAGCAAAGATATCCTGATAACAATAAGGTAAAAAGTCACAGTTATCCTTCACCATATAAATCAATTGCTGTGTAGATTACAATGCTGTACAAAAAAGCAGACTAAGCAGCTTGATGCAGATATACTGTGTATTCAGCGTTAAGATCAATGAAACATTTTGTGTGATATTTCACCAGGTGTAATGTATCTGATGTTGTGAATTCTAAATATCAGGTAAGAAGACGTAATTTAACATTTCTTAGAGAGATGATTATTTTCTGATGTCTAGTGTCACATGTACGGCTACTGACATGGCAACATGTCATGTACACGTCACCAGTTCATGGACAGATACAATACCACAAGTTCCATTCGTCGTATACTAACATACTACATTGTGTTTGTCAAGGAATAACGCATTCGGACAAGCTCGACAGTGACACATAAAAACGTAACGAATAAATACGTTACGCACATAAGCGCAATGGCGTTTACGGTAATATAACAATGATATGACCACAGAAGAGATGATCACCACATTCCTTATTTCAGAGTGTTAGCTACACAGATCTAACAATATGCTGATAGAGTTAGCAATGTAACAGGAATGAATCCAGACCAGATTATCGCACAGCTCTCGAGAAAGCTACTGATAATGAGGATACAACATGAATGCAGAACCAGGCAGCGTTAATATAACTATCCAAGTATATACAATATACTTGCCCGTGCGAACACGTCCTCCTGTAACAGTGTTATTTAGCAATCAGTAGGAGGTGAACAAATGTCACACTGTCCTTCGTAGTTATAACCAGGTTTAAGATGTCCCATTAGGTTATGTTTGTGTAGTTTACTCTATCAAAATAACGTTTTATCTTTGTTATCTGTTAACTAGTTGTGGACTAGATACTACAGCAAGGGTTTCTAAACATTACTCTTTGAAGTTACACAAGGTTTAAGATGTACCAGTCATATTTCTACGTTCTCTAGTATTAAGTTATGTTGATTTGGTTTACAATATTTAAATATTATTTCGTCTCTGCTATCTGTTAAATAGATTGAGTTGTGGACTAGATACTACAACACAATTTGGTACAAAGCAAACGTTTACGATAAAGAAAGACAGTATGGCGTATATATGTTACTTTGTTACGTCTGGGTATCTGTCCTAATAACCAGTATGGCGTATATATGTTACTTTGTTACGTCTGGGTATCTGTCCTAATGACAAGTATGGGGTATATATGTTACTTTGTTACGTCTGGGTATCTGTCCTAATGACCAGTATGGTGTATATATGTTACTTTGTTACGTCTGGGTATCTGTCCTAATGACCAGTATGGCATATATATTTTACTTTGTTACGTCTGTGTATCTGTCCTAATGACCAGTATGGCGTATATATGTTACTTTGTTACGTCTGTGTATCTGTCCTAATAACCAGTATGGTGTATATATGTCACTTTGTTACGTCTGGGTATCTGTCCTAATAACCAGTATGGGGTATATATGTCACTTTGTTACGTCTGGGTATCTGTCCTAATGACAAGTATGGCATATATATGTCACTTTGTTACATCTGGGTATCTGTCCTAATGACAAGTATGGGGTATATATGTCACTTTGTTACGTCTGGGTATCTGTCCTAGTAACCAGTATGGTGTATATATGTTACTTTGTTACGTCTGTGTATCTGTCCTAATGACCAGTATGGTGTATATATGTTACTTTGTTACGTCTGTGTATCTGTCCTAATTACCAGTATGGTGTATATATGTTACTTTGTTACGTCTGGGTATCTGTCCTAATGACCAGTATGGTGTATATATGTTACTTTGTTACGTCTGGGTATCTGTCCTAATGACCAGTATGGTGTATATATGTTACTTTGTTAAGTCTGTGTATCTGTCCTAATGACCAGTATGGCGTATATGTCACTTTGTTACGTCTGGTAATCTGTATCAATTTTCTTTGTTGTCTGTTGATTTAACCATTATTTTTGTTTTCTATCGGTCCTAATGACCAGTATAGTGTTATACAGCACTACGACAACACGATCTAGCACAGTTCTTTAATACACCTACCCTGTTTGTTTTCATACCTAGCATGTTCTGGAACAAAATTGTACACACACCCGAAATTAAGAATTATCCTGATATTGTGTTCTCATTCATTAGTTTTCTTTAGTCCAGCATGCTACATTACGTTTGTCTACGATACTGTATCATGTCCACTAAAATCCAACAGCTATGTCTATAACGAATTTCACGATCAGGAGGTTGTATCAATTTTCTTTGTTGTCTGTTGATTTAACCATTAGCATTTTTGTTTTCTATCTTATATCGGTCAATTGTTTTATTCTAACCTACTTCCTGTCTTTACGTGATACGAAATCGATATCTAAAGATAAAGTGCTAACGTGGTAACGTCATATCGTCTTGTAAAATAACACTATTATGTAACTTTATTGATTGTACAAACATGTAGATAATACCTACCATTATCAATGATTTTCATGAAGATCTCCGCGGCAACTATTCTTGGTGAACTATCACCTGAAACGACAAATATCCAATAGTAAGTACTAACTCAACTTTAGATACACAATAATTAAAAAATGAGAATGTAAAATGTCATTTTGTTTTTATCATGTGATATAGAGTGTCACGTCGTATGTATATATTTATTGTTTGTGTATGTTCGGTGTTTTCGTCGTTCCTGTCGGGCCACCGTATCTTGTGGAGTAACCAGGTGAGTGGGAATTCACGCGACTGCTGAGTGGGAATTCATGACAGTCGCGTGAATTCCCAAGCGGTTGTTTACAGGTTATTTACAGGTGTTTCGTCCTTCTAGGACTCGTCAGTGATGCTACATCATACAGCTGTTTGTCCTTATAGGACTAATCAGTGATACAACATCATATAGCTGTTCCATCCTTATGGGACCCGTCAGTGATGCTACAACATTCGTCCTTATATGACCCGTCAGTGATGCTACATCATACAGGTGTTTCGTCCTTATAGGAATCGCCACCGATGCTACAACATTATAGCTGTTTGTCCTTCTAGGACTATTCAGTGATGCTACATCATATAGCTGTTCGTCCTTATAGGACTCGTCAGTGATGCTACATCATATAGCTGTCCGTCCTTATAGGACTCGTCAGTGATGCTACATCTTATAGCTGTTTCGTCCTTATAGGACTCGTCAGTGATGCTGAAGGCCTTGATGATGAAGTCTAGGAGGCGACTGAGGAAAATTCAAAGTGATCGAAAGAAAAGTCAAAATCTAGATACAGCAGCCCCATGATTTAATAATCTTCGTATTTTCATGTATTAAATAATTTTTAAAACAGCGTACAATCGTATGCCAGAAAAAGTGACCAATGAGTATATCAGTACCACCAATTCTAGTTTCTCTTTCAAAGTAATTATTTCTAGCAATCAGCGTTGTTGTTTTTTGATTTTCCGGTGAAAATCAAACAAACCCCATCAATCTGTCTATCCGTCGAAAAGGTAAACAAGATGTGAGCTTTACACTTTGATCTCGGCATAAGTGTTTGTTACATGAATAATGTTGACAAATGTTATGTGAACAGCGTTCCCTGTGGTATCTTGTTTGATTACATATTGCTTTAGTTTCAGAGTCTATTTTGATTAGTGATTAGATTTAGAAGAAACTAGAATGTGACAAGAAATTGACAGAAATTTCATTCCTCGTAAAATGGAACCTTTTATGTCTATATACGCTGCTTCAGGGCCTTCAGCCTGTCTACACACATTCATTAGTTCCGTAAGTCTCAAAACGTTAATAACGACATAACCAATGAACATAACCAGGAGCACAATGGACCACCAGACAAATTAACGAGCATCAAACACATCTAACTTTACATCACACAATGGACCACCAGACAAATTAACTAGCATCAAATACATCTAACTTTACATCACACAATGGACCACCAGACAAATTAACGAGCATCAAATACATCTAACTTTACATCACACAATGGACCACCAGACAAATTAACGAGCATCAAATACATCTAACTTTACATCACACAATGGACCACCAGACAAATTAACGAGCATCAAACACATCTAACTTTACATCACACAATGGACCACCAGACAAATTAACTAGCATCAAATACATCTAACTTTACATCACACAATGGACCACCAGACAAATTAACGAGCATCAAATACATCTAACTTTACATCACACAATGGACCACCAGACAAATTAACGAGCATCAAATACACATCTAACTTTACATCACACAATGGACCACCAGACAAATTAACTAGCATCAAATACATCTAACTTTACATCACACAATGGACCACCAGACAAATTAACTAGCATCAAATACATCTAACTTTACATCACACAATGGACCACCAGACAAATTAACTAGCATCAAATACATCTAACTTTACATCACACAATGGACCACCAGACAAATTAACGAGCATCAAATACATCTAACTTCATAACACACATTGTACCACCACAAATATTAACGAGCATCAAACACATCTAACTTCATAACACACATTGTACCACCACAAATATTAACGAGCATCGAACACATCTAACTTCATAACACACATTGTACCACCACAAATATTAACGAGCATCAAACACATCTAACTTCATAACACACATTGTACCACCACAAATATTAACGAGCATCAAACACATCTAACTTCCTACCACACAATGTACCACCAAACATATAAACGAGCATCAAATACATCTAACTTCATAACACACATTGTACCACCACAAATATTAACGAGCATCAAACACATCTAACTTCTCTCACACACACAATTAACTAGCAAACATTGTATATTAACGAGCATCAAATACATCTAACTTCCTAACACACATTGTACCACCACAAATATTAACGAGCATCAAACACATCTAACACACATTGTACCACCACAAATATCTAACTTCATCACACACATTGACCACCAGCATCAAATTAACTAGCATCAAATACATCTAACTTCATAACACACATTGTACCACCACAAATATTACACACACATCTTTGATTACACAATGTGCTATTACCACAGAACACATCTATTTTGAACACACATTGAGCATCAAACACATCTAACTTTACATCACACAATGGACCACCACAAATGGCATCAAATACATCTAACTTTAACACACATTGTACCACTATATTAACGAGCATCAAACACATCTAACTTCTACCACACAATTACACCACACGAATCAAACACATCTAACTTTACATCACACAATGGACCACCAGACAAATTAACTAGCATCAAATACATCTAACTCCATAACACACATTGTAAAACCACACATATAAACGAGCATCGAACACATCTAACTTCATAACACACATTGTACCACCACAAATATTAACGAGCATCAAACACATCTATCTAACTTCATAACACACATTGTACCACAAGACATATTAACGAGCATCAAACACATCTAACTTTACATCACACAATGGACCACCAGACAAATTAACGAGCATCAAATACATCTAACTTTACATCACACAATGGACCACCAGACAAATTAACGAGCATCAAATACATCTAACTTCATAACACACATTGTAAAACCACACATATTAACGAGCATCAAACACATCTAACTTCCTACCACACAATGTACCATCAAACATATTAACGAGCATCAAACACATCTAACTTTACATCACACAATGGACCACCAGACAAATTAACGAGCATCAAACACATCTAACTTCATAACACACATTGTACCACCACAAATATTAACGAGCATCAAACACATCTAACTTCATAACACACAATGTACCACCAAACATATTAACGAGCATCAAACACATCTAACTTTACATCACACAATGGACCACCAGACAAGTTAACGAGCATCAAACACATCTAACTTCATAACACACATTGTACCACCAGACAATATTAACGAGCATCAAACACATCTAACTTCACAACACACAATGTACCACCAGAAATATTAACGAGCATCAAACACATCTAACTTTACATCACACAATGGTCCACCAGACATATTAACGAGCATCAAACACATCTAACTTCATACCACACAATGTACCACCAGACATATTAACGAGCATCAAACACATCTAACTGTACACCACACAATGTACCACCAGACAAATTAATGAGCATAGAACACATCTAACTTCATAACACACATTGTACCACCACAAATATTAACGAGCATCAAACACATCTAACTTTACATCACACAATGGACCACCAGACAAATTAACTAGCATCAAATACATCTAACTCCATAACACACATTGTAAAACCACACATATTAACGAGCATCAAACACATCTAACTTCATAACACACAATGTACCACCAAACATATTAACGAGCATCAAATACATCTAACTTTACATCACACAATGGACCACCAGACAAGTTAACGAGCATCAAACACATCTAACTTTACATCACACAATGGTCCACCAGACATCAAACACATCTAACTTCCTACCACACAATGTACCACCAAACATATAAACGAGCATCAAACACATCTAACTTTACATCACACAATGGACCACCAGACATATTAACGAGCATCAAACACATCTAACTGTACATCACACAATGGACCACCAGACAAATTAACGAGCATCAAACACATCTAACTTTACATCACACAATGTACCACCAGGCAAATTAAGGAGCATAGAACACATCTAACTTCCTACCACACAATGTACCACCAGACATATTAACGAGCATCAAATACATCTAACTCCATAACACACATTGTACCACCACAAATATTAACGAGCATCAAACACATCTAACTTCCTACCACACAATGTACCACCAGACATATTAACGAGCGTCAAACACATCTAACTTCATAACACACAATGTACCATCAGGCAAATGAACGAGCATGGAGCACATTCATATTACTAAAGCTAATTTTTGTCAAATGCATTTTTACACAATATTCGTAATACATTTCTGGACCATATCATTGCATAGATCCCTTTTATAACACAGGAAGAGAGCTCTGCACTATTCCATGTACTTAAAATATAGGCGCATGATATTGATCACGAATCTTAATACATTCATACAGTCTTTTAGTTATCAATATTGTTCGATAAGGTTAAAGAAGCGTGCAGGTAAATACCGCAATGTCAGCTTACCAATAAGCACATACTATTTATTATATTTATAACAAATGCTGAGATTTGTACACCTGTATTAAAAACGTATGACCTCAATTCAAGGTTAGGTAAATAAATACCTTTTTAGAGCGGTATAATTCTAATACACATTAAATACATGAATCAACGTACCTATTAAATAAACCTGTGAACAGGTTTCCTAATGAATATTACTTCTGTCAAACTGTGTGTTTCTTACCTTATTCAATTCATTATTTGATGGGTGTAACCATTTCATAGATAATGTTGATAATTTTGTGCATTTGTTAATCTTTTATTATAAGGCAGT